AAGAGCACTGGCTGTTCTTCCAAAGGTCTTGAGTTCAATTCCCAGCATACACATGGTAGCTCATAACCATCTGTAATGAGATCTGGTGTGCAGGCACACATGCAGGCAGAATACTGTATAAATAATAAATAGATAAACCTTAAAAAAAAAAAAAAAAAAAGGGTAATGTCCACAGGCATTTGTCTAACTTCTAAGAGGTTGTGTCGAACTCAGGGAGTCATATAGTTTATCAGAAGCAGAAAAGAAAAATTAGAAAGTTATGACTAGCATTGCTGGTTGGATCCCCAAATTTTTCACTGAAGATGAGTTTTGCCTTTCCAGGGGTGTCTGGGTTCTTTCCCCATGTAAACATGCTATCATTGCTGCCCTCCTTTTTGTAGAGGGAAGTCTAAACTTTCTTTGAGCAGAGCACAATATTGGGACACAACCAAGAATGTCCCATGTCTGTAAATGTTTCTTGATGCTCCAATCAGTCAGGGTAGAGGAAATCAGGTGGGACTCAGCTCACAGAACAGCCTCTCCCTAGATATGTCTCATAGGTTGGCCTTGCAGCTTATTCACCTAAAGCATTTTTCTAATTTTGATCTGAAACAGGGTAAGACACACACACAGAAACACAAGGAGCCCTCTCAACATAACAGTTCTTCACTGCTGCAATTCACACACTAGAGAAAAGCAGGAAACAGGCTAAATGAACATTCTTAACACGCCTTATACCAGAAAGAGGGGTTTTAGACATGAGGTGTTTCAGGCTAATCAGGAAGGAGTAGGTAGAAGTCCTTTGCTGATCTGCAGGTATAGCTGAAACAGAGAGAGGACAGAGAACAGGTCTTGGAATTGATTTATTGAATTATTTTTCGAAACAAGGTTTCTCTGTGTAGTCCTGGCTTTCCTGGACTCACTAATTTATAGACCAGGCTGGCCTCAAACTCACAGAGATCCGCCTGCCTCTGCCTCCCGGAATGTGGGGATTACAGGTGTGCACTACTGCGCCTGGTTAGGTCTTTGAATTTATTTCAGTGTATCTTGAGGTATGTGTAGGACTTACTAGGGAAAGAAGGGATGGGATAGTCTAGGCAAAAGAATCATGTACAAGCCAGGCATGTCTAATCTCAGACAGGAAGATCACATGTTAAAAGTTATCTTCAGCTACATAGGGAGTTCAAAGAAAAAAAAAATGTATAGATGGCTTTGGAGTTTTACAGAGAATCATGTTTTAGAAAAGGACTTCTTTTATAGTTGGGGAGGTGGCTCAGGGGGTAAAGCACTAGATATGAAGTCCAAGCATAGCAGTGTGCTCAATGACTCAGGTCGGGATAGAACGGGAGTTCCCTGGGCAACCAAGTCAAGTAAGCTCTGGGTTTAGTGAGAGACCCTGTTTCAGAAAATAAGGTGAGAGGGGCTGGAGAGAAAGATGACTCAGTGGTGCTAAGAGCTATGGTACGAACATTTTGCTTCCTTCGTCCCTCTTAACTTCTTACCTCTTCTTACCACCACCATCTAACATTACATATTTAATTTTTTATTTACGTGTATGTATTTGTGTTTCCAAGGGTGCTAATGTGCATAGAGGTCAGCAGACATCTTATAAGAGTGGGTTCTCTTCTTCTAGCATATTCCTGATTATCAAACTGATCATCAGCTGGCAGCAAAATGCCTTTACCAGCTAAGCCATCTCATGTGCTTGACTATTTAAAAAGATAGAGGAAGGTGTCTGACAAACTGGTGTACTTGGAGGCTCATATGTACACACGTAATACACAGTGAGATGTGGCTCACTGGTGAAGTAGTCAAGAAGCCCTAAGTTAGATGCCCATTACTGCTGAACACAGAAAAAAAAAAAAAAAAGAGATTGTGAAGTCGGACAACCAAAACAAGTACCTCCGTAGAGTATAATTGGAAAGACACAAAATGCTGCAGTTAAAACCACCTCAACTCTTCTCTGGAAGATAATATCGTCATCAGAACACTGTCCTTGATGCTGATCAGGTGCACACAGTTCTCACTGAGCTGTTCTTTCCTGTGTGTCGTGGGCAACACCCTCACAGGTTTTCATCCCAGTCCTCAGCCTCCTGGACATTCCCTGTCCATTAGCTCCAGGAGGGGACAGGACAAGGGAAAAAGCCTCCAGGTATTTCAGGTAACTGTCTTTATGCCTTATACAGTTCATGGAGCAGGGTCTGGAGGGCCTCAGTGTTCTCCTGCCCTACTTCTTACCTTACTTTGAATCCCCTCTGCACTGTGCTTTGTTTGCTTGCTTGCTTGTTTCTTTGCTTGTTTGTTTCTTTCGAAATAGTCTCACTCTAGCCTAGCTGTGGGCCTAGTATCTGATGTGTTTACCAAACTGTCTCTGAATATGTAACAAATCCTTATGCCTCTACCTCCTGAATGCTTAGATTTCAAGCATGGGCCATTATTCTTGACACATGCTGTGATTTTTATTTTTATATATTATTGTGCGAGTGTGTCCAATGGGGGGGGCATGTGGAAGTCAAAGGAAAACTTTGTAGAATTGATTCTCTCCTGTAGCTACATAGATTCTAGCCATCAAAATTAGATTGCCAGGTGTATTGGGTACACTGGGCATTGGGTACACTGAGCCATCTCACCAGTCCTTGTTTGTTTGTTTGTTATATGTGTACCATGTTTGTGCCTGGTACCGATGAAGTCAGAGGAAGGTATTGACTTCCCTGGGACTGTAGTTACAGGCAGTTGTGAGCTGTCGTATGAGTGCTAGGAACCTAACCTGAATCCTTTGGAAGAGCAGCCAGTATTCTTAACCTCTGAGCCATCTCTTCAATTCCTCTTATAAGCTTTTTAAAATATCTTACTGTGTAACTCAGGCTGCCCTTAAAATCTCCATTCTCTTGCTTCAGCCTTGTGAGAAATTCTTTAGTGGTATTGAGGATCATTTGATTGATGGGCATGTGCTAAAGACTCTAATTTTTAAAGTGGGAATGAGGTCACTTCCCATTGTTTGCCACTCTAAGCATAGAAGGAAAAGTATTTTTTTATTTAATTCTTTATTAATTACACTTTATTCACTTTGTATCACCCCCTGTGGTTCCCTCCCTCCTCCTGTACCAATCCATCCCTTCCTCCACCCTCTGCATGCATGCTTGCATGCCCCCCCACCCCAAGCCCACTAATAGGGGAGGTCTTCTTTTCCTTCCTTCTGATCCTAGTCAATTAGGTCTCATCAGGAGTGGCTTCGTTGTCTTCTTCTGTGGCCTGATAATGCTGCTTCCCCCTCAGGGGGAGGTAATTAAAGAGCAGGCCAATTAGTTCATGTCAGAGACAGTCCCTGTTCCTATTACAATGGAACCCACTTGGATACTGAACTGCCATGGGCTACATCTGTGCCGGGGTCTTAGGTTATCTCCATGCATAGTCCTTGGTTGGAGTATCAGTCTCCTATCCAGAAAGTTGAAGAGGATGGACATCAGAAGGAGAAAAGAGGGAACAATTCAAGAGCCTGACACAGAGGACCTCTGAAAGGCTCTGCCCTGCAGACTAGCAATGCAGATGCTGAGACTTATGGGCAACCTTTGGGCAGAGTGCAAGGAATCTTATGAAAGAAGTGGGAAACAGCAAGATCTGGAGAGGACAGGAACTTCGCAAGGAGAGCAACAGAACCCAAAAATCTGAGCACAGGGGTCTTTTCTGAGGAAAAGTATCTTGTACAGGGTCATATATTGCTGAATTTAGTATTTTAGATGCTTTTTGCCATTAATTTACATCTAGTTTTCTGTGATCTTTAAATTGACTAGAAGATAAAATGGTTTCATTTTCTCTCTGATCCTGGGACTGGAACTGATAAGCTTGCTAGGCAGCTGCTTGTACTGTTCTGTATTCCCATGATGGCTTATTCTTGATAAGATCTAAGTAACATTCTTTGTTTCTCACATCCTGGGTCAAGTTTGCTTATTAAATTTAGCAAGATTGCTTAGAAAACTGTATGTTTTGGGTTCAGTGGAGCTCCACTGTCTGTTACACCAGTCCTTTGCAGTTTCTGTGACAAAGAGGAAAGCTGATTTAAAGAAGAGTAAATTGGGGGTGGGAAATATATTCCAGCTGTTAAAGTGCTTACCGTGTACAAGACTCTGGGTTTGATCCCCAGTACCCCAGTACAGCATAAAACCTGGTGTTGGTAGAAAATGCTTGTAATCCCAGCCTGTAACACACAAAAAGTCAGCCAGGTGATAGTGCACACCTTTAATCGTAGCACTCATGAGGCAGAGGCAGGTGGATTTCTAGTTCAAAGCCAGTGTGGTCCACAGTGTGAGTTTCAGGATATCCATATACAGAAAAACCCTGTCTTGAAAAACATCAACAGGAAAATTCATTTGGACTCTACACAATAAATTCAAAAGCAAGATAGAAGGATTTTTTTAGTACATTTATTAATAATTCTTTAAATATCAATGTTTCCTTTGAATGTTGAAGCCTCTGTAGAAGTAATAGGAACTTAACTCTTCCGTTTGCCTCTTTCACTTTTGCTGCCATCAAAACCATCATCCTCTGAGGAGCCAGAGTAGTTAGGTGCTGTGGGGAGGAAATAAATAGCTTAGCAGTTCTCAACCTGTGGGAATTGAATTACCCTTTTATACAGATCTCCTATGATATTCATATTAAAATTCATGACAGTAGCATGAATTTTGTAATGTGAATATCTGTAATGAATTACAATGAGCCACATAAATACAATTACTTGTATTGTGAAAACACAGATATTCACATTACAGTTCATTATAGGTATGAAGTAGCAACAAGAATAATGTTATGCTTGGGGTCACCACAACATGAAGAATTGTTTTAAAGGGACAGCATTAGGAAGATTGAACCACTAAAATAGCTATTGTTCGTAAAGGCTTTGTCCTACAAGAGGCTACTTCATAGTTCATTTGTTTGCATTTTCTGATTCTTTCTCCTTCAGAGAGCCTAATTCCACTGCATATCTTGTCTTGTGGAGCTTATTTCAAGGCATTCTGTCTTTTCAGAAAATGGATCCAAGTGGGGTCAAAGTGCTGGAAACAGCAGAGGACATCCAGGAGAGACGACAGCAGGTCCTGGATCGGTACCACCGCTTCAAGGAGCTCTCTACCTTGCGGCGGCAGAAGCTGGAAGATTCCTATCGGTTCCAGTTTTTTCAGAGAGATGCTGAAGAGCTGGAGAAGTGGATTCAGGAGAAGCTTCAAGTTGCATCTGATGAGAACTACAAAGACCCAACCAACCTACAGGTATGTCTAAGCTGCCAGGGATTCTTGCCTCTCAGAACTTAGGGACCCCCAAAAATTGGGTAGCTAGAAGAATGTAGGTCAGACACAGTAAAGACCAACTCTGTGCTCTGAGAAGACTGTAGCATATGGGGAGGATAGCTTAGAGGCATGAGGGTTTTTTTTCTGCATACTTTAAACCCAGGGTTCTTAACCTTCCTGTGCTGTGACCCTTTAATACAGTTCTTCATGTTGTGACCCACAACAATAAAATCATTTTTGTTGCTGCTTCATAACTCTAATTTTGCTACTGCTATGAATTGTAATGTGAATATCTGTGTTTTCTAGTGGTCTTACACAGCCCCTGTGAAAGGGTCATTCAATCCTCAAAGGTTGACTCTTTAAACTGATGGTTCTTAAATTATATCTCAAAGCCCCTGGAATTCCAGCAATTTCCAGGAATTTTTGTTTTTGTTTTTGAGACAGGGTCTTACTATGTAGCCCTAGCTGACCTGAAACTCAATATGTAGACCAGGCTAGCCTCAAACTCAGAGATCTGCCTGCCTCTTGTGGGCTGAAATTAAAGAATGTGTCGCCATGCCCTGCTGGGTTGTTGAGATAAAGGCATGCTAACAGTATTGTTGCTTTCAAATAATATAGTTATGGGTGTGAGGAATGTCTAAATGGTTAAGAACACACGTTGCACTTGTAGAGTACATGGATTTAGTTTCCAGCATCCTTATCAGGAGGCTCACTACCAACCTATAACTCCAGTTTCAACAGCTCTCATGACTTCTTTTGGTCTCTGGGCACACAGATACAGAAATACAAATAAAAATTTTTTTGAAAGAAAGAAAGAAATGGAATGAGGTTATCAAGATGGCTCAGTGGGTAAAGGCAGTAACCGTTATGCCTGATGACTTGAATTTCATCTTAGGACCCACTTGGTAGAAGGAAGGAACACATACCATAGCATGTGCATGTTTGCACACATACACCACCTACCAAAGAAATGTAATTTTAAAACTAAATAGAAGTAGAATGCAAGGTTTGAGTATGGCTCGTAAAGGAGGTGGAAAAGCTGTGTGTGTGGTCCTGTTTTTCTCGTTTTTTGTTTTTTTTGTTTGTTTTGAGACAGGGTTTCTGTGTGTAATAGCCTTGGTTGTTCTAGAACTCACTCTATAGACCAGGCTGGCCTTGAACTCACAAAGATCCACCTGTCTCTGCCTCCTGAGTGCTGAGATAAATGTGTATATCACCAGTGTCTGGCTAGTCCTATTTTTCTAGAAGGGATTAGATGTCTGAATAAAAGCTGCTTCTCCATTGACAAGAAAATTTGAAATATTCTGTAGTATCTAACACCCACAAAGTTGAAGATGCTCACAGAGCAGGGTAGTGGAGGTACAGTCTTTGTATGTGTGCGCCCTCCCTCACTAGAGGAGATGGCACTGAGGGCAGGGGCTGTTAGGGTGGGAACAAGACAAGTGCTGGGTGGTGACACTTGTGTTCCACTACCAGGGAAAGCTCCAGAAGCACCAAGCCTTTGAAGCTGAAGTACAAGCCAACTCAGGAGCTATTGTCAAGCTGGATGAGACTGGAAACCTAATGATCTCAGAAGGGCATTTTGCATCTGAAACCATCCGGGTGAGTAGGAACACTACCTGCCTGGTCAGAAGGGCTCATCTCCTGGAGCAAGAAAAAAAGGAGGATGAACACCTTTTAAGCTTGGCTTTTCCTGATTTGAGAGACTCTAGGTCTTCTAGAGAAATGCACAAGCCAGCTATTACTATGACTGGAAACCAGGGTTTGTGAATGTGGTAAGGAAGAGTGTTCTTGGAGTAGAGTGAGTTTAGCATAGAGTGAGTTACCATGTTCATATGGTAAAAAAGATTTCTTCTGTGTCAGCTAACTCTAGTATTTTTAGAGGGTAATTGGTAACCTTGAGACAAGCACCTTCAAACTTTGGGCCTACTTGTTTTTTAATTGAGATCATTTTTCTATGCTTTATGTAACAATACCATTGTATTAAGGGAAATATCCTTTCCTTATTGCCATGTTAAGGTTCTCATAAGGAGATACTCTTACCTAGCCTATCTTTGATACACTTTAAAATTTTTTAATTTCTATTTTTGATTATGTGTGTGCTTGTGCATGTGTACATGAGCACTCAGGCCAAAAGAGGGTGTTGGATCTCTTAAGCAGGAGTTAAAGGTGGTTGTGAGCTGCCTAATGAGGGTACTGGAAACTGAACTGAGGTCTCTATAAGCGAGTATGTATTCTGAATCACTGATTCATCTCTTAAGATCTTTGATACACTTCTTGTTTTTATGTTTTGTTTCTTTTGTTTTCTTTCTTATTCTCAGCATCTAACTGTGTAGAACAGGCTGTGCTTGAACTAGATCCTCCTTTCTCAGCCTCCCAAATGCTGTAGTGTGTGTTACCTCACCCAACTTTTTATTTGGTTGTTGCCAAAGCCACATTGCATTGAGGGCTCAGCCTTTCCTAGGTCTTCACCTGTCAAGCATTATTTAGGATGTAGACAAAACCTGTATCCTTCAGCCTCAACTAAAAGTAAATCATCCTCCACTCTCCCTCTGTAGCTGTTTTGAAATTTTCAGTCCTCTAGGAGCCAGGCTGATGGTTTTCAGCGTTAGACATTTGTGCCATATTTGCTCTACTGGTATCTATTTGCACTGGGTGTTTTGAAATGGACTTGTCGATCTACCCACTTACTGATTTTAGGCTTTTATTTATTTATTTTTTAATTCAAGACAGGGTTTCTCTTTGTAGCTGTGGCTGTCCTGGAACTAGCTCTGTAGACCAGGCTGGCCTCAGACTCACAGAGATCAGTCTGCCTCTGCCTCCTGAGTGCTGGGATTAAAAGTGTATGCCACCTTGCGCAGCTAAAAACTGTTAACTATTACTAGTTTAATAAAAAACCTTTAAGAAAAGTAAGTGCCAGTTGTTCTGTGGCCAACTGATTCATTATATTGAAATCATTTGCCTAGTGTAATACATCTCTCAATTAAATACAAACATTTTCTTTTTTTTTTTTAAAGTATAGTTTTGTTAGGTAAATGAAGTCAGTTGGCTTCTTACTTCCTAGTAGAAATTTTCCTGGGGTACATGGAATTGTATAGTATGACCCAGCTACAGATAGGCCCAAGAGGAATGTTTGACTTTGGAGATTCATCTTGAGAAGGACCCAAAGTTGAGTTCATTTGTGCTCCATTTGGAGAGCTTATCAAAGCAACTTTACGTGCACTATTAACTATTATTTGTCGAGTTGCTATAGTAGCTGTTGAGGTACTGCAAGATACTTGGCTGACATCTGTGATTTTCATAGGCTTGTAAGGTTCCTATTTCTCCATATCATGGAAGGGTAGACATTCTGAAGCTTAGAAATTTTGAGTAACCTGCCCCACGGCTGACAAGTAGAATTTCACTGTGAGCCTCTATTTTCTGGCACAATCTGCTGTATTCCATGCCTATCATAGTTCTTTCCATAATGTTTTGTTTCTGCATCTCTGAAGCTCCCACTGTTGGCTCATGGCTACGTTGAGAAATCACCAGAGTCAGAGCCAGGCCTTCTTTCCCACCCTGTCAGTTCTGAAGTTTCTTAAATGTTCTTATTGCCCTACCTGCTCATGTTCCTAGACTGTAGGCAACATATGTAGCTGGACCCTCTCTGTCTTTCAGGGCTGGGAAAATTGTGCCAGTATCTTAGTCATGACTTGACTGTGTGAAAATGAAACTTGTGTGTTTGAATAGTGGACTTGAGGATGAGCTCTGTCCAGTTTCTGTAGTGCTGTTGTTAAGAGTTCTGTCTTCTCATGTTTGGGCTCACAGTTCCCATAATGATCCTCGCTTGACTTGGCAGCTTGTTTGTTCTGAAAAATTAGCAGTATAGTTTGGCAGGTGGCATTAGCAGTAAGGAAAGTGGGTGGAGTAGAAGGCTGTGTCTGTGTCCTGTATAACCTGTCTTGTCACTGGTTTAGACTTTCACACCATACCGGACAGCTTGGCGCCCCATAGTCACCGCCACCCACATTGGGTCTCACATCCGAGTAGGTGGAGTATTGACTTGTTATGCCTTTCATTCCCTTCTAGTCATGACAATTTGGTGCAGTGAACTGTGTGAGCTCTCATTTCGTTTCTTTATAGCTTTCTCTCCTCTGGTGAAACCTTCATGCTTGTTTCTAAGAGACTCCACCCATGCTGACTGTTCCCCTGACTTTCAAAGTTTTTTGTTTGTCTTGCTGAGAGTGACATCTCAACATGGGTGGATCCCAGTCCCCTTTATGTTTGTGTTTGAATCTGAGTGGAATAGTTTTGCCTGTCAGTGTTACCAGAAACTCCCAGTATCTTGGGGTAGGCATAGTCCCAAGGTGGGATCAAGTACCAGAACAAGCACTCAAGCTAAAAAAAATGCCTTTTTAGCTTCCCTCAGTTCTTAGGTTCTCACTGGGTCTATGCTGTGAATACCCATTAATGCTGTGGCTGCTACATGAATGAGATTAGAACTCATCTTGAGATGTCATGTTTAACAACAGTCACTGTGAGGCCTTCCAAAGCCTTTTTGGTGAAATGCAGATTGAGAGCTGATGGCATTCTTCTACTGTTACCCCAAGATTTTTACATTGTAATTCCTTTTTTTGTTTGTTTTTGTTTTTGTTTTTCAAGACAGTTTCTCTGAATAACAGAGCTCTGGCTATCCTGGGCTCACTTTGTAGAACAGGCTGGCCTCACAGACATCTGCCTGACTCTACCTCCAACTGCTAAGATTAAAGGCATACACCTCCATTGCCCAGCTCACATTGTAATTCTTTTTCAGTTTAATTTTATTTTTACTGTATAAGAGAGTGGAAGAGAGTAGTGTACACATATAGAGGGCATAGGACAGTTTTCAGGAATCCGTTCTCTCTTTTGGCTGTGGCTTCTGGGAATTGAGTTTTTGTTTTTCTAGACAGAGTTTTTCTGTGTAGCCCTGGCTGTCTCGAAACTCATTCTGTAGACCAGGCTGTCCTCTAAACTCAGAGATCTGCCTGCCTCTACCTCCTAAGTGCTGATATTAAAGGTGTGTGCCACCATACCTGGCTTAAAAGTCTGACTTTTAACCTCCAGACACGTTTGATGGAGCTGCACCGACAATGGGAGTTGCTTTTGGAGAAGATGCGTGAAAAAGGAATCAAACTACTTCAGGCACAGAAGCTGGTGCAGTATTTGCGAGAGTGTGAGGATGTAATGGACTGGATCAATGACAAGGTATGCTTTGAGGGCAGGTGTACTAGGCTCCTCCAAGAGGATGGAGTGCTCCCTATGATCTGATGGAGGGCAGTGTTAGAGCAGTTGCAGCCCTACATTAGATGGAGGGCAGCAACGGGAGACTCTGTCTCAACTGCTCTCTAGGAACCTTTTATTGTAACCCTGAAATCTCTGGGACAGAACACTGTTAGAAGACAAGTCATAACTACATAGAGAATTGTTCATTAAAGTGAATGTGGCCCCATCCCTAATGAATCTCCTTCGTGGCAACCTTTGTTAAATTGACTATTGGCCAGTCACTCCCACTGGTTCTGTCCTTGAATAGGAAGCCATTGTGACTTCTGAGGAGCTGGGCCAGGACCTGGAGCATGTGGAAGTTCTACAAAAGAAATTTGAAGAGTTTCAGACTGATCTGGCTGCTCATGAAGAAAGGGTTAATGAAGTAAACCAGTTTGCTGCCAAGCTCATCCAGGTGAGAAGCAGAATGATGTGTCCTGCCCACAGCATCAGGGATCCTTCTAGGATGTACTGTAAAAGAAAACTCATCTGATCCTTTTTTTTTTTCTTTTGTTTTTTTGAGACAGGGCTTCTCTGTAGCACTGTCTGTCCTGGAATGGCTCTATAGAGCTTTGTGCCCTTAAACTCACAGAGATCCACCTGCCTCTGCCTTCCAGAGTGCTCGGATTATAGGCATGCTCCACCACTCCTGGCTTATCCTTTTTTTTTTTTTTTTTTTTTTTTTTTTTTCCCTAAGCAGTGGGCCACCTAAATTCTATATGTGAGTATTTTTCCTGTGTATGTGTATGTGCACTCTGTGTGTGCCTGGTGCCCGGAGAGGCTAAACCTGAGTGCCAGACTTCATGGAATCAGAGTTACAGATGGTTGTGAGCTGTCATGTGGGTGCTGGGGACTGGACATGAATCTTCTGCAAGAGCAGCAAGTATTCTTAACCTCTGAGCCATCTGTCCCACCCTCCCTGATTCCTGGAGTTCTATATGTGGACCAGGCCTCCAACTCAGAGATCCACCAACCTTCTCCCTTTCTCCCAAAGTGCACCACCACACCCAGCTATGATTCCTAACTACTAATGAGCAGGTTTTACAAGTATCTCTTATACATATGTTAAAAGTTCTGTCTAGATGTAAGTAAAGCGTCATTCTGATTACTTCTAATAAGAACATGCTTTTAATTTGAGGCCCTGGGCAGGAAGGGCAGAGTTCCATTTTTGGGCTGGGCAGAATGAACTTTTATTGAGCTTCTAAAACTTGTCTCTGCCTTTTCCCAGACCTTGGACCAAGGTGTGGTAGTAAATTCCTACCTAATTCTGGCAGGCATCCAGCAATAGTGATAGTTCTTTCTTCTTTCATACTGAAGATTTTCTGGCCTCTGAGGGCCCCTAGAAGGATCTGATGGTGAATGGGCACTCCACTGGTAGCTCTGGAGCTCATTAAGAGGGACAGAGACAGCTTGGTATGATGACAGCTTTTTCCCAGCACTGGGATGCTGAGGCAGGAGGATTGTGGGCTCAAGACCAGCCAGGGCTACTTTCTCAAAACAACCTTTCCCCATGGCCTACATGAGAGCTTTTTGAATACAGTTGTCATCTATACTACACTGTGGTTCAGTGTGCTTTGAAGACATCAAGGATTAGGAAGCAGAGCTTTTTGCTTTGTAGGGCAGAAAGGAGTCTACTAAATGAGTTCAAAACTTAAATATCCAGGTCTTTGGTGCTGATACTTTTTCTCATTTAATTTTTAGTCAGTATTTGAGAGGACAATCAGAACTGTTCAATAATATTTTGTCATTCTAGAGAGCTAGTAAAATCTCCAAGTCTCAAGCCAGTTATGCGGGGCAGGAATAGTCAAGCCAAGCCCCCAAATACTCAACCCGACCTATTCACCTATTCACATGTTCTTTTTTTTTTAATAATTTATTTATTATTTATACAGAGTTCTGCTTACATGTGCACCTGCATGACACAGAGGACACCAGACACAAGAGGACACCAGATCTCATTACAGATGGTTGTGAGCCAGCTTGTGGTTGCTGGGAGTTGAACTCAGGACCTTTGGAAGAGCAGTCAGTCCTCTTAACCTCTGAGCCATCTCTCCAGCCCTCACATGTTCTTTTAAGCTAAGAGAAAACAAAGCATTTAGAATGTGCTTGGTGGAAAAGAGTCAATGCTAACAAGATGTCTCCTGCCTACATCTAGGAATAAATTCTGGCCCCTAAGAAACATGGACCTGGGAAACAGTGCTTAATCTACCTCACAGACACTTTTTTTTTTTTTTTTTTTGAGACAGGGTTTCTCTGTGTAGCCTTGGCTGTTCTGGACTCACTTTGTAGACCAGGCTGGCCTTGAACTCACTGAGCTCTGCCTGCCTCTGCCTCCCCGAGTGCTGGGAATAGGTGTGTGCCTCTGTGCCGAATTACAGACACTTTTAAATGCTAGGTTTTGAAGCACTTGAGGTAGGTGGGATTACATTGATGAAGTTATGCTAAGTTGGACCCCGTGTGTTTGTTTTTATTAAAAATTTTTATTTACTAGACTTACTTCATTTTGTGTAAAAATGTTTTGCCTATGTATATGTGTGTTCCCCATGTATTCCTGATTGCCACAGAGGTCAGAAAAGGACATTGGATTCTATGAAACTGGAGTTAGATAGTTGTGAGCCACTATCTTCATTTTGGGAATGAAACCTTGGTCTTCTTCAGGACAAACTAAGGCTGTTAACCACTCAACCATCTCTCCACCATCCCTGGTATGTTTAATATCTGGTACTGGACAGGCATAGTGACACACACCTTTAATCCCGACATTTGGGAGGTAGAAGCAGGTAAATCACTGAGGTCAAGGCCAACCTGGTCTACATAGCAAATCCGGACCTTCCAGGGCTGTCTGTATAATGAGACTTTGTCTCAAAAAGAGTAAAGGACAACAAAAAGCTGGTACTGATGTTTCTAACCCTTAACAGGCTAAGCACATTTTCCAAAGGATGGAAAAAGATTCTTTCTTGAGCTACAGCTTCCTTCCTTTCACACAGACCCAGGCTTCCTTACAGTTATACTCTTGAGCCAGGCCCAGAATAATTTGTAAGGGCCAGAGGTGGCAGGCTGATCGGTTCATTCTCTTCCTTGTGTAGGAGCAGCACCCAGAAGAGGACCTGATCAAGACCAAGCAGGATGAGGTGAATGCAGCTTGGCAGCGACTGAAAGGCCTGGCTCTTCAACGGCAGGGGAAGCTGTTTGGTGCTGCTGAGGTTCAGCGCTTTAACAGGTACTAGGGGGCTATGAGAACGGAACAGAGCTTGGAGTCTGGTGTTCCCAGTGCACCTGGACAGCTTCATAGCTGGGTTGATTGGTCGCTCTTCTGTAGGGATGTAGATGAGACCATTGGTTGGATTAAGGAGAAGGAGCAGTTAATGGCCTCGGATGACTTTGGCAGAGACCTAGCAAGTGTTCAAGCTCTGCTTCGGAAGCATGAGGGTCTGGAGAGAGATCTTGCTGCTCTAGAGGACAAGGTGGGTTTGCTTGTTTTTGTTCTTTCAGACCAGGTCTCACTATGTAGCCCTGGCTGTCCTGGAGCTCACTGTGTAGATCAGGCTGGTCTCAAACTCAAGAGATTGACCTGCCTCTGCCTCCCAAGTGCTGGGATTAAAGGTGTGTGTCACTATACCTGGCCACAAGGTGGGTTGAAAGCTGCTGACTAAGTCAGTTAACAAGGGCAGGAGAGTGGCACTGATAAAGTCTGTTTCTAGGTGAAAGCCCTGTGTGCCGAGGCTGACCGCCTGCAACAGTCACACCCTCTAAGTGCCAACCAGATCCAGGTGAAGCGAGAGGAGCTGATTACCAACTGGGAACAGATCCGAACTCTGGCAGCAGAGAGACATGCACGGCTTGATGACTCATACAGGTAGGAACATTCCTTCGGTGCATAGCAGTCAATCTTTAGTTCCTGTACAAACAGGAGAGGCAGAGTCTCAATTTTAAATACCAAGAATGTGTCTGTACAGGAATCACCAATAAGAAAATGCAGAGTACTTTACCTCACCTACATTAACGTTCTTTTGGAGACTGGCAGCTTTCTAGAGTGTAGTCTGTGCATATAGTATTTATAACTTCATAGATTTTTCTGTCCACTCTAATAACTTTGACAGAATGGAAATATACCATAACTAGCTTCTAGAATAGCCTGTTAGTAAATGAAGAATTGGAAAGGTAAAGAACACTTACTCACCTTGAGTTGGCGCTGTATATAACAAGGAAGTTAAAGATGTGAGTCAGTGGCAGTGACTAGCCAGAACAACATAAAGAGATACCATTTTCAAACAGCAAAAACATGAGACAAAATGGGGGCATCACCATGAACAACAGAACATATTTTTCTGCCTTCTGCTATCTTTACTTTAAGTTCAGTGCAGCCTTCTGTCATGGGACCACCACTGGAAATGACATACTTTTGATTTTCCCAAGGCTTCAGCGCTTTCTTGCTGACTTCCGTGACCTCACAAGCTGGGTGACTGAAATGAAAGCCCTCATCAATGCAGATGAGCTGGCCAATGACGTGGCTGGTGCTGAAGCTTTGCTGGATAGGCATCAAGAGCACAAGGTATTCTTTCCAGGGTCTTCCATAACTGAAGACATTAGCATGTGGTGGGGCGGCACCTCACTGTTTGGGAGGCCCGCACTCAAAACTGTCGTCTCCCACTGTAAAGTTTGTTGTGGGTTTTGTTTTGGGGGATCTCCTTACCTCCTTTCAACATAGACTTCAGTGTTATGCAGGAAGGCAGAAAGGCAAGCTCTCTCCACTTAAAGGTTGGTGCTGCTTCGGATGCCCATTCCATCTGTGCTGTCTTAAAAAGTGTCTGTTTAGGTGGGCGTGGACAGCCAGGGTGGTTATACAGAGAAACCCTGACTTGAAAAAAACAAAACAAACAAAAAGTGTCTGTCTAGGACTATGCTTGATGGTGCACAGCTTTAAACCCAGCCCTTTGAAGGTACAGGTGGAAGATCAGGGATTTAAGGTTAGCCTGGGTGACATAACAGGTTTGAGGCTAGCTTGGGCTACATGAGCCCTTATCTCCCAGGGAGAAAAAAAAAACAAAACAGTCTACTGAATTGTATAGTTTATTCAAGTAACTTGGATGTTTTTTTTTGTTTTTTTGTTTTTTTTTTTTTTTGCTATTGTTTGTTTTTTTAGTCCAGTATTTATCCAAAGTATGTTATATCAAAAAAACTATTATTAGGGGTCAGGGAGATGAGTCAGCTGGTAAAGTGCCTGCAGGGCAAGCATGAGAACATGAGTTCAGTCCTGGTACCCACACTGACCATAGCCTCTTATGGTTACCTGTAATCCTAGTGCTGGGAAAGGGAAACGAGGGTCACTGGGTTTCACTTTCCAGCCAGCCCAGCAAAATTAGTGAGCTCTGGGTTTAGTGAGAGACTCTTTCTTAAAAGTAAGCTGGTAAATGTTGTAGGAACACACGGGATGTCCATATCTAGCCTCTGTACACAGGTGTGCATACACACACATAGAACATGGACTTTATATCAAGAAGGTCACAGAGTAGTAATAGGGAAGCAATAGTATGACAAGGTACTTGACAGGAAATCTTTTTAAAGGCTATGTCAAAAGTTATTTGTGGAGAAAGCTATAAAACTTTTGATAAGCCAGACTTGAAGACAATACATGTTTTCTTTTTTATAATCTAGGCCTAAAAGTGTATGTAGGCTATAAAAGTGAAAACAGGACTATGAAAGGAGAGAAAGAGGAGGTCTGAAGGGGTACAGAGGAGTAGGTAGCAGTGCATGTGACAGACAAAAGACGAGTATCAGCAAGGGCAAGTGGAGTGGAAGACAGTAACAGGAGCAAAGTATAATGATGTGGAGACATGAAAATGCCACAACTAAATTTACCTGCCTTATATGGTAACTTCAGTTTTCTCCCCCTCCCCTTCCCAGAGACAGGGTTTCTCTGTGTAACCCTGGAACTGGCCCTGAAACAGGCTGGCTTCAAACTCAAGAGATCACCCTGCCTTTGTCTCCCATGTGCTGGTATTAAAGATGTATACCATCACACCTTTAAATATTCAAAAATATTTTAAAAGAATATAAAACTTTCTGGATGTGGTGGTGCATAATTTTAATCCCAGTACTGGAGAGGCATAGGCAGATGGATCATTGAATTTCAGGCTAGACAAGGCTAGACAATTTATAGTACCAAGTACTATAGAGTTGTAGTAAAAAACAAAAAACACAGCTGGGTACAGTGGCACACACCTATGATCCCAGCCTTCAGTGAGGCAGAGGCAGGTGGATCTCTGAGTTCAAAGCCAGTTTGGTCTACAAAGGGAGTGCAGGACAGCCAAGGCTACAGAGAGAAACTGTGTGTAGAAAATACAAAACAAACAAAAAAAGGAAAAAACACAGGGCTGGAGAGATGGCTTAGTGGATAAGAGCATTGTCTGCTCTTCCAGAGGACCTTAGTTCAAATTTCCAGCAACCACATGGTGGCTCACAACCATCTATACTGGGATCTGATGCCCTCTTCTGGCAAGTCCAAAACCAAACAAACAAAATCCTAAGGCAATTTTAAGTAACATGGCAGAGGAGGGAAGGGATTCACTGTACTGTTATAAAATTGTAGTAATAAGCAAGTCCATATGGTATAAAAAAAGAGAAGTGGACAGTAAATAGGAGGGCTTGCTTTGATATGAACATGTGGTCTGCAGAGCCGGGGCAAGTCTTTCTCAGTTGACAGATAATTGTTTCCATATTTTATTACTTAAGCTGATGATTAAAAAACACTCTGAATTTCCACTCTGTTTCTTTTCTTAGAAGTCTCTTTCACTTGAATAATTATTTGAAATTCAATAACTTGGTTTTGTCTCCCCAACCCCACCAAAAGATGCTGGAAATAATGCCGTCTTTTTACTCTACAGGGTGAAATCGATGCTCATGAAGACAGCTTTAAGTCTGCAGATGAGTCTGGGCAGGCTCTGCTTGCGGCCAGTCACTATGCCTCAGATGAAGTGAGGGAGAAGGTAAAGTAGTGAAAGGGGCCTTTCAAGGAGAATGCCAGGGCCAAAGAGCGTTTCTGGATCTCTGTGCCTGGTAGGGGCCCACCATCAAGTGAGAACACGTAGTAGCCCAAGACTCTGCCACAAAGGGGCAACTTGCCTGTAGAGATTTAAAAAATAAATCATGGCTGGTCATGGTGGCACAAAGGGGCAACTTTAGCTTGTAGAGATTTAAAAAAGATGTATGTGGCTGGTCATAGTAGCACACATCTTTAAGTCTCAGCACTGAAGAGAAGAGACAGGCAGATCTCTGTGACTTTGAGGTCAGTGTGGTCAACACAGCATGTTCTAGACCATCTAGACCCATTAGAGGAAGGAAAAAGAGAGAGTATATGCATAAATATATTGGGCCAAGACACTTTTTTTTTAAAACAGGTTTCTGATATCCATTCAGTTGACAAGCTCTCGTTTGAGAGTCCATGCTGTTTCCCTAATCTTACTTTCATCTATCTACCAGTCACCTTGGCATTTTCACTTAGAATGTTTATGTAATAGGACAGTAAATTCTAGATGAGTGGTTGGGGTTCTTGTGGCTAGCATACACATGCCAGCTTTGGTGTTTCTATATGTCTTTCTTTTTTTTTATTAGTATTACTATCGTTTATTATAATGTATTCAATTTGTATCCTGGCTGTGGCCCCCTCCCTCATCTCCTCCCAATCCCACCCTTCCTCCCTCTTCTCCCCTTATGCCCCTTCCCTAGTACACTGATAGAGAAGGTTCTACTCCCTTTCTGTTTGACCCTAGCCTATCAGGTTTAATCAAGACTGGCTACATTGTCTTCTTCTGTGTCCTGGTGATCAGAGAGCCTGCCATTGAGTTCATGCCAGAGAAAGTCCCTGTTCCCCTTACTAGGGACTCCAGTTGGAGACTGAATCTATGGGTTTCATTTGAGCTGAGGTTTAAGTCCTCTCCATGCATTGTCCTTGGTTAGGATATTATTCTCTTCAGGGCCTCCAGGGTTCAGTTTTTTTGGCTCTGTTGGTCTCCTTTTGGTGCTCCTGTCCCCTCCAGGACTTTCTATCTCCCCCTTCTTTCATAAAATTCCATGCATTCTGCCCAAAGTTTGGCTCTGAGTCTCAGCCTCTGCTTTGATACCTTTATCAGTGGAGTCTTTCAGAGTCCATCTGTGTAGGCTTCTGTCTGTTCCCTGTCTTCTCCTGCTTCCTGTGTCTGTCACGTTTGTCCTTCTGAATGAGGATTGAGCATCTTCCCTAGGGTCTTTCTTGTTGTTTAGCTTCTTTAGGTTTATAGATTTTGGTATGTTTATCCTATCCGTCTTATGATAAGCTTATATACATTAAGTGCTATTGCTCAAAGGCATGCCTTAAGGCTGGTATGAGGAAAAGACTATCCTGGGCAATGCTGTGTCTCCCAGAAGGTGGAATGTAACTTTGCTTCCCATTCCCCAAGCTGAGCATCCTCTCTGAGGAGAGAACTGCCCTGCTGGAGCTGTGGGAGCTTCGGAGGCAGCAGTACGAGCAGTGCATGGACTTGCAGCTCTTCTACCGTGACACTGAGCAGGTGGACAACTGGATGAGCAAGCAGGAGGTAATGTTCAGCAGGAGCCCAACCAGAGAGGGCGAAAGGTCATGCTTTGTTTCTCCAGTGTGTGCTGATTTTGATTAATAAGGACATTGGAGCTGTTTCAGTTTTTGGTAGAGTGAAAAAAAGAACTTTTGGCCCTGCCTGCCTCCGGCATTGCTGAGACAGCAAGGCAGCTAGAAAAGATTTGTGAAGTACAAAAGGGTTCTAAAACTTAGAATTTAGCCTTGTGTACAATCTGAATGTATGAGAAGCTATAAGAGCTATGTGAGAGCTGGGGTTGGTGCCTGTTTGCATTCTCACTAAGCAAGTTAAGGCAAAGGGCTCTTAAGCTTGAAGCCAGCTTGACTATTTACCTTAGAAAGAAAGCTGGACTTGCCTCCCCACTAAAAGAAATATCTGAAAGATGTTTAATAGAATATATAGTAATGATTATCTCCCAGTGTTACTGGTTGATTTTTTTTTTTTTTTTTTTTTAAATGAGAATCTAAAAGGACTAGACTTTACAATGGTGGTCTCAGAAGTCTCATCGCCATAGAATATTTCCTGTGTTTTGCCAAAATCTTCTTTTGTGTTTGGGCTATAGATGAATAAGCAGCCCATGATGCTGCACACTTGCTTTTCTTTCTCCAGGCATTCCTGCTAAATGAAGACTTGGGTGACTCCTTAGACAGTGTGGAAGCGCTTTTGAAGAAGCATGAGGACTTTGAGAAATCCCTCAGTGCCCAGGAAGAAAAAATCACAGTAAGCTTTTTGTCACAGAGTAAACGGAGTCTCTTTCTAAGAGCTTTGGGAGCTGTCTGCAGGGTACTCCCAGGAACATGTAAGACCTGGTGATGATACCAACTCATTTTTGTGTACACGTAGCACAGCTTATGGAGAAAATCACCTGCTTAATGGAATCCTCCCAGTTGAGATGCACTTCTGACTGACACTAAGTCCGTAAAAGATAGGTGTCCTAGCCATAAAGAAAACACCCTGGTAGAAAGCGTAAGAAGTCTGTTGACCTACAGCTGACCCTCTTGAGGTGCTCATGCAGCACTTCATGTCTGCAGACTTGAGGAATGAGCAGTCCAGAGTCTTTTGGGCATGTCCACTTGCAACAGTGATCAGTGATGTTCATGACTGTAGAGTTCACTCTCGTGAACCAGATACTTACCAGATACTATTTTATATATATAAAATAATATATATAATATATTTATATATAAATAATATATAAATGTATGGTATTTATAATATAATATAAAATGTAACAATATTATAATAGAATATTAATAAATATATAATATGCTATAATTATAATATATATAGTATTTAGATATATAAAGTAGTATCTCATAACATTTTAACTTTTAATTTTGTGTTAGTTCAAATTCATAGCTATCCTAGGGTACATGTTGTTGTGAGCCATAGGGTGGGCATGCCTGTAGGTCTGTAGGTGAAGATAACCAGTCATCTAGTCCCAGTGGTGATTGCTTGTCATAGTACAAACCTTGACTGTTAAGATTTGGGTGTTAGCTGTGTGAGGTGGTGTATACCTTTAAGCCCAGCACTCAGGGAGGCAGAGGCAGGGGGATCTCTGTGAGTCTGAGGCCAGCCTGTTCTACAAAGCGAGTCCAGGACAGCCAAGGCTACACAGAGAAACCCTGTCTCAAAAAACAAACATAAAAAAAAGATGAGGGTGTTTTTTCCATAGCCCAGGTTAGGGCTCAGTGCTCACTGACAACTCTTGCCTTCCTTTCTAGGCACTGGATGAGTTTGCAACCAAACTAATCCAAAATAACCACTATGCAATGGAAGATGTGGCCACTCGTCGAGATGCGGTGAGTTCCCTGGGCATGCCATGCTCTTTTGTAATGTGTAAGTTCCCTTTCTGAAATAATTGTTGCAGTTCAGTCAAGCTGGTCTCTTTTTTGGGAGTATAAGCTGGGGAATCGCATGATTTCTGTCTTTCAGCTCCTGAGTCGCCGCAATGCCCTTCATGAGCGGGCCATGCACCGCCGGGCCCAGCTGGCTGACTCCTTCCACCTGCAGCAGTTCTTCCGTGATTCTGATGAGCTCAAAAGTTGGGTCAACGAGAAGATGAAAACTGCTACTGATGAAGCTTATAAAGTAATATACAATCAGTGTTGTCACGTAGTACTTGCGTAGTATGCTAAAAACTAGTTGTATCTTAAAAAAAAAAAAAAAAAAAAAAAGCAAAGGGGCTTCCACAAACTACACTAATAAGCATAAGTTGACTGTTTTATGAGTATAAAACAGCTCTATATAGCCAGGCTCAAGGCAAAACCCTTCTCTTTTTGATTGTCAGGATCCATCCAACCTGCAAGGGAAGGTCCAGAAGCATCAGGCTTTTGAGGCTGAGCTCTCCGCAAACCAGAGCCGTATCGATGCCCTAGAGAAAGCTGGGCAAAAGTTAATAGATGTCAACCACTATGCCAAGGAAGAAGTAGCAGCTCGTATGAATGAAGTTATCAGTTTGTGGAAGAAACTTCTAGAAGCCACAGAACTGAAAGGTGGGAGAAAATAGATGATAGAAAAATGATTGGTAATAGGAATGTTTGGGAAACTAAACACTCCTCTCTAGGACCAAAAGCCCCTTCCCCCAGGATAGCTAGGTTGATAGCTTTGTTGTTAAGGATTTTTTGCTGTATAGAGGTTATATGTCTTGAGTTGATCGTTTGGTATGATTGAAGGTGACTGTTGGTTGGAGAGACTAAAGGCAATGAATTGAGGCTTCTCACTTAAAATCACTATTTAGCAGCCTGGCAGTGATAGCACATGCATGTAATCCCAATGCTCAGGAGGCAGAGGCAGGTGGATCTCTTTGAGTTTGAGACCAGATTGGTCTACAAAGCGAGCTCAAGAACAGCCAGGGCTACACAGAGAACCCTGTTGCCAAAACAAAACAAAACACAGTTTAACTGTGAGACAGTGAAAGCATCTCATGGAAGTAAAGGTGCTTTCCAAACAACCTCCAGTTCAGTCTGTTGAGTGTAGAGCAGAAGTTATTCTAGCGATTTCCTTCACCTATTTAGTAAAACAGTGTAGTGACTAAGATCTGACCATAATCCTTCAATAGGATACCATGGCTTGTGATCAGTATTAGCAGATTCCATTATCAAACAGAAAATTGAACCTGTTTTCCTGAACAGGAATAAAGCTCCGTGAAGCCAACCAACAGCAACAATTTAATCGTAATGTTGAGGACATTGAATTGTGGCTATATGAAGTTGAAGGTCACTTGGCTTCAGATGATTATGGCAAAGACCTCACCAATGTCCAGAACCTCCAGAAGAAGCATGCCCTGCTAGAGGCAGATGTGGCTGCTCACCAGGTAGAGTGGAAAATGGGACTTGTAGAGGGGCAAGGCAGTGCTGAATGGGAGAAAGGTGAATGTTGAACATTTCAAGATGAGACTATTTGGGAGAAAGATGAGCTTATATGGCTGTCTTACAGAAGTCTTGTTTGCTTCTGTCTAAAGTGAGGGAAAACCATGACAGAACAAATACTCTCAGAATAGGACAAGCACCGTTTTAATTTTCTTGATGTCCGATGAATCCTCTACCCAAGTAATAGGCTGGAGAGGTGCAGAACAGAGTCTCTGGGATTTAATTGTTTGCAGTTTTCAAACCTTACCTTCCCATTTCCAGGATCGAATTGATGGCATCACAATTCAGGCCCGCCAGTTCCAAGATGCTGGCCATTTTGATGCCGAAAACATTAAGAAGAAGCAAGAGGCTCTTGTGGCCCGCTATGAGGCTCTCAAGGAACCCATGGTAGCCCGGAAACAGAAGCTGGCAGATTCTCTGCGCCTGCAGCAGCTCTTCCGAGATGTGGAGGATGAGGAAACCTGGATTCGAGAAAAGGAGCCTATTGCTGCATCTACTAACAGAGGTTAGTCTGTTTGACCCAGGCAGAACCATGCCAGTGTAGCATCCCACAGCATAAAGGAGATGTGTCCAGAGAGAGTAAAGTGTAGATCCCCATAATGCAGCAGTGGTGGGAGCCCAGTGACAGTTCAGTACCAGTTGATGAGGAAATATGGATCCTGCTTTTAGGCAAAGATCTAATTGGAGTCCAGAATCTGCTAAAGAAACACCAAGCTTTACAAGCAGAAATTGCTGGACACGAACCCCGCATCAAAGCAGTGACCCAAAAGGGAAACACCATGGTGGAGGAAGGTGAGTGTGGTCAGTGACTGGACATGGTTTTACTTTTTCTGTCTTTCCCCTATTGGCATGGAGTGCATGGACATGGGGCCAGCTGTCATATGACTTTGACTAGGCCTCACCTTGTGAGTTTTGCTGTCATGTCAGTATACTCACCATCATCCTTCCAGGCCATTTTGCTGCAGAGGATGTGAAGGCCAAACTGAGTGAGCTCAACCAGAAATGGGAGGCACTAAAAGCCAAAGCCTCTCAGCGGAGGCAAGATCTAGAGGACTCGCTGCAGGCCCAGCAGTACTTTGCCGATGCCAACGAGGCTGAGTCCTGGATGCGGGAGAAGGAGCCCATTGTGGGCAGTACCGACTATGGGAAGGACGAGGACTCTGCTGAGGTAGCTCAAAGCTTAGTATCACGTGTACTTGGGAAATGGGCCCAGCCTTAGAGTAGAAAGCAAGGTAGTGGAAAAGGTTTTCTAGGAAAGATAAAGTATCCTGCAGCTGCTTTTTAAAGTGTTTGGAATCTTTCTTATTTTTTATTTTGGAAGTTCAGAATCAAAGAGAAGAGCCTATCACCTACTTTCAACTGTTAACATTTGCTTATGTCTCATTTATTCTCTGTCATATGCATGCAGACATGTAGTCAGGCCAGCATAGGCAAGCATGCCAACACCAACACCTGTGTAAACTTAACAGTGCATGTACATGCACTACTCAGTACATACACCAAACGCTTTCCTGTTTTTCTCTAGTCATCTGTTGTCTTACTGTAACTCTCATATTTGTAGTCTCCAGACCTCCCCCTTGACAGTCTTATCAAAACCAGAATGAGTAGTGGTGTCTGTGCTCAGTGGTAGAGCACTAGTGTAGTATGTTCACAGTTCTGGATTCTAATCCCAGTACTAAAAACCTCCCTAGGCGAGTTGAGCCTGCACATGGACAATATTTTCCCCAAGAATGGGAGGACCAAAAACACTGGAGATGATGTTAGTGGGAAGTGACAAGATAGCCATATAAAAGAATTCTGGAGTATACTGGATGCTATTCTTTGTGTGTCTGTATTTTTCAGATACTTTGTAACTAGGTAAAGCAAGGGGAAAGAGGAGATTGTAACTCAGCAGTATTTTTTTCTTCTCTGAAATTAAAGAGGAAAAAGAGATGGGATGGCAAGATGGCTCAGTGGGTAAAGGCGCTTGGTCCAAGCCTGTTGACCTGAGTTCATTACCCAGACCTACCTGGTGTAGTCAGAGAACTGACTTCTTCAAGATGTCCTCTGACCTCCATGCTTGTGCTGTGTGCATACCCATAAAGAAACAGGTGTAAGACAACATGAATGGGGAAATTTCACAAGATCCTCCCCCCTACTGAGAAGATCAGTTTCCTCCAGGGACAAGCTCCCATGTAGGTTATCCAGTCTCAGGTGGTCATCCCTGGAAACTGTCCATAGGGCACCAATAAGTGTACTCACTAGAGTTTGAATGTCTGTGTAACAGTAGTCATTGTGGAAAACAAGGTCATAAGATTGCAGGAGGTATGGGAGCAGTAGGAAGGGAAAGGGGGGAGATGTAGATCCACTGCTAATGTACGATCTCAAAAGTTTTTGAACAGTACATTATACAACATATTAAAAGTAATTTTAAAAAGTAAGGAGTATGCAAGACAGGCAGGAGTCATCTTATGACAAGAAGCCTCTAAGGAAAGACATGGTGGCTCTATGTGTATGGTTTCAGGCTCTCCTTAAGAAGCATGAGGCTTTAATGTCCGATCTCAGCGCCTATGGCAGCAGCATCCAGGCTTTGCGAGAGCAAGCTCAGTCATGCCGGGTAAGTGGTGCTGCTGATGTTCCAGAGCACTGAGGGCACGGGGTGGGCTAGGGAAATTGATGGGCATTTACAACTATGGGGAACATTGTTTGGGTTTGGGTTTGGGTTTATTTCTTTGTGACAGCATCTCACAATGAAGACCAGGCTGGCTGCCTACCTCTACTTCAAGTGCTGAGGTGCTGAGATTAAAGGTGCATGCCACCATACATGCTATGGGCACCATTCTCATACCAAGATCTACAGTCAGGCACATTTAATTGAAAGTTTTTGTTTGGTTGAATTCCCCTCTCCCTTTCCGTATTTTAACAACAGGGTCTCCCTTTATAGTCCAGGTAGGCCTCATACTAATTAATCCTCTTTGGGCTTCTCAGATGCTTGATTTATAGGCGTGAGCCACCATACCTGGATTATTTAGTGATACATGGGGGTTTTTTTGTTTTGACATATTTTGTTTGGGTTTTGGTTTTTCGAGATAGGGTTTCTCTGTGTAGCCTTGGCTGTCCTGGACTCACTTTGTAGGCCACACTGGCCTCAAAGTCACAGAGATACGCCTGTCTCTGTCTCCCAAGTGCGGGGATGTGTGTGCCACCAGGCCCAGCTAATACTGTGTTTTAATGCTCAACAGCTTGAACAAAAAAATTTTGGTAGCTTCAGTAAAGAACTCTCAAGGAGTTGGGTATAGTGGCGTAAACCTTTAATCCCAGCACTCAGGGGCAGAGACAGATGGATCTCAAGGATGAAATCAAGGCTACTCTGGTCTACATAGTTACAACTAATAAAACTGGATTAGCTCTTTACAAAGTTCTTTTTAAACCTAAGGGCCAGAACCAGCTGATGGTGGTGCACACCTTTAATTTCAGCACTTGGGAAGCAGAGGCCTGTGAGTTCAATGCCAGCCTGGTATACAAAGTAAATCCCAGGACAGCCAGAACTACGTAGAGACAGACTGTGTTTCAAAAAATTAAAACAAATAAAAAGAACTCTCATAAGTGTGTATTTGATGCACCTGTTGGACTCTTCTGTGCTTGAGTGTCACATTATAAGTGACATTTAATCATTTTTTTTCTTTTCTTTGGATCATTAGCAACAAGTTGCCCCCATGGATGATGAGACTGGGAAGGAGCTAGTTCTGGCTCTCTATGACTATCAGGAGAAGAGCCCTCGTGAGGTCACGATGAAGAAAGGGGATATCCTCACCTTGCTCAACAGTACTAACAAGGCAAGGAACAGGGTGGCCAGGGTTGGTACATCCTTGGGTAGAACGGGGAGAGATAAGGAGGTTACTTTATCAGACTTCCAGTTACTCTTTATTTCTCCCAAGCCACGTATGACTACGAAAGTACTAGATCAGTCCTCTTGAGTCTGATGTGTGCAAATAGTGCCAAGAGTCACCAGCAGGAGCTTCAAAATCAAGTATCTCTTGGAGAATACTTTCCATTCTGAGCTGTGGGTTGTTTGCTCCATAATTTGTACTGTTGGTAGTGGTTGTGTATGGTGCTGGCCGTGGAAGACAGTGCCTCATGGAAGTTGTGCAGGCACTATATCTTGGGTGTACGTGAGAGCACACACTTGTAGCATATACAGGAGACAAAAAATTAAAAAATATAAAAACAAGCTGGGCAGTGGTGGCACATGCCTTTAATCAAGTAGGTCAGTGTGAGCTCAGTCTTTCATTGGAAAAGAATCAGCTTTCAGTTCTCTCTTTTCTCCCCTAGGATTGGTGGAAAGTGGAGGTGAATGATCGTCAGGGTTTTGTGCCTGCTGCGTATGTGAAGAAGCTGGATCCCGCCCAGTCGGCCTCAAGGGAGAACCTCCTAGAAGAGCAGGGCAGCATCGCTCTGCGTCAGGGCCAAATCGACAACCAGTAAGGGCCCCACATAGCACAGGCTAGACAGCACTCAGGGCTTAATCTAGTCCTCAAGCCAGATACAGGCAGTGTCGTGGGGTCTCTGGAGCCCTCTGTCCTCTTTCTGTTTCCCTCAAGTCTCCTAACTCACCAGCTTCCCTGTTAGAGCCCAGATTCTTAACTAATCCCTTAATCTTACTGTTTTTTCTATGCTTCTGAGATGCTTTTTCTAAGCCACATTTTATTACTTGGCACATTGTTAGCCTTTGTCTTGTAGACAAGATTTCTTTTTGGGTTGAATTTTCAGATTTCTTACCCCTTGGCTCTGCCTCCCTTTGGACAGCTGCCTAGGGAGCTGCTCTCTCTTCCATAGCTTTGTGTTCAGAGGATGAAATTTATTTTTTAAGCTGGTTTTCTCCTTGTCATATAGATGAGCCACATATTGCCCTATGTCTGTCCTATAGTGCATATCTTACTCTGCTAATGAAATCAACAACTTTGAGCACCTGGGAAATACCCAGGCAGTATATTTCTAAGTCCAGTAGAGCTTAGAATAAGAGAGCTTTTCTGACCTTAATGATCTTGAAAAGACAAGAGCCATTTGTACACTTGTAGATTCTTTTACTGTTACTCCATAGACAAGGAGACACTTGGGTTTGTGTTATTATCACAGACCTGACTCATAGATATGAGAGCACAAATGTAGATGGAGATAGTGTTGCTGAACTGGCTGTTAGAGTCAGCAGTGTCCTTCAAGTCTGTTTTGTCCCGTGGCCTTGCTCTGTGCAGTTAAGAATTTGCAGTACAGGGAATGCTGCCTTTTATGTAGCAGACTTGTTAGGAACATGAAGGTAAACTAACCCTCTCATTTAATTTTCCTACTGTTTCTCCACTGATTTCACTCATGGCATAGGCTGCTTCTAAGAGCTTTTGAAGGATTCCTAAGTTTCTCCCATGTCAAGCATCCGCCATCATGGCACCAGTCGGAGCTGCTGCTTTTCATTCCCATAGATTAATCCCACTAATGTGTGCATGCTTTTGCTGTACCCCCCTCTGTGCAGGACACGCATAACTAAGGAGGCCGGCAGTGTATCTCTGCGTATGAAACAGGTGGAAGAACTGTGAGTAGGCTGAGAGCCTCGCTGAGCTCCCCATGTCCACTGCTACACCTGTCCATTCTCCCTCTGCTGCTTTTCTCCAAAGCACTTGGCCATTCAGAAAGAGGTGGTACAGGGAAACTGCCACATCTGTTTCACAGCTTCGCTGGCTGTGGGAGAGCTCTCAGTGGAACTGCTCTCCATGGTTGCTTCTGCCTGCTTGTGTTTGAAATGGTGTTGGCTCACTTTAGTTTTGTGGTAGAGCAGGAACAGTCTATGTCCTCCATAAACCTGCAGCCAGTTCTGTTGTATTCCTCAGTAGGAAGGAAGTGAATTGCTATTTAGAGGTTGAGGGCTCTGATTTCTGTTGCCTTGTTACTTTATTTGTTGGGAAAGCTAAGATTTAGTTATGATTTTCAGCTTTTTCTTTAACTTTGAATTTCATTCTTATTGAGATTTGTTATTTTTGTGTCTCTAAAGATAGTGGCAGTTCAGCTTTTTTTATATCTTAGTTCTCACGGGTTAGAAAATTCTTTGGTTCTTCTTTCTGCACGTTACCTGATATTCTTTCATTGTCCAAAAATATATAGATCACTATGGAAATGTCCTAGTGATCAGAGATGGAACATCCTGTATTGGACTGTGTTAAAGCTTGAATCTTCCCCCACTTAGGGGCTGCTCAGAGTTTTAAAAACCAAGAACATCCCTTTTAAACATTATGTAGTTTCATCTTTTTGTAGCTTCATCTCATCTCCTCTCCGATATAGTTGCATGAACCTTTTGTTTCTGTGCTAAGTGCTTGGTTTTAGACTTCTGTGGTCATAATAGTTGCAAAATTGGCTTGGGGATAAGTGTGCCTGGGCTGTGGTAATCCTCCCAGTTAATGACCAGTGCAGTATGTGCTTATCCCTAAGGCTATAGTTTGGGTGCCTAGTATCTTCATCTTCGTGTGCTCTGATCCTTTGTTGCTAGGAATCATCATTACAAACTCATGCCTTGGATCACATCTCAGATGCCTAACGGTTATCCTTTGTTAGCAGCTGTAGTGAGCTAACTACCTTCCTTGCCTATTTTGTCACCCTCTTGACTTCTGTCAGATATCAGTCTCTTCTGGAACTGGGTGAGAAGAGGAAAGGCATGTTGGAGAAGAGTTGCAAGAAGTTTATGTTGTTCCGGGAAGCAAATGAGCTACAGCAGTGGATCAATGAGAAGGAAGCTGCCCTAACGAGTGAAGAGGTTGGCGCAGACTTGGAGCAGGTTGAGGTGCTGCAAAAGAAGTTTGACGATTTCCAGAAGGTACGAGTGGCTTGCAGTGTGGCTGCAAAGTTGTGTAAATAGCTAGTTCTTAGGACTGGGCGGATGGCTCAGCAGTTAAGGGAACCCAGACGACCAGATTCCATTCCCAGCACCCACACAGTGACTCACAATGATATGCAATTCCAGTTTTCTTCCTGCAGGACCGGACATAAACTTGGTACACAAACACTCATGCAAGCAAAACACCATACACATAAAATTAATAATTAAAAAAATTTAAGGGATGGAGAGATGGCTTAGAAGTTAGGAGCACCAAGTGCTCTTGTAGAGAGCCCAGGTTTAATTCCTGTTGGCTTACACATGCTATCTATAATTCAGTGAGTGGTACACAGACATATATGTAGGCAAAACACTAATTCACATAAAATAAGTGAGTAAAGTTTTAAAAAAAAAAAAAACTTTGCATTTAAAAACAAAAAAATGAAGAGTTGGTTCTCACTCTTTAATCCCAGCACTGGAGAAGCAAGGGCAGGGGGATCTCTGAGTGGATATCTGAATTTAAAGCTACCCTGCTCTGCAAAGTGAGTTCCAAGACAACCAGGGCTACACAGGAGAGACCCTGTCCTAAAGAAGTTGTTGATGGGTTGGTTCTCAGAATGGTAAAATGGCTCATTGGGCCCCACCTGGCCCGAGAGTATTCTGAGTTCATTCTCCAGGACTCACACAGTGGAAGGAGAGAACCATCTTGGACAAATTATCCTCTGACTTCATACAAGCACTAAGGCGCCCAGCTCACCCACATCACACACGCAAAAATAATACAATAAAACAAAACAAAAAAAAAATTTAATGGTTTGCTTGCATCTGACTACAGATAGATCACTGAAATGAAGGTAACATGGATGTGCAGTCTCTATGACTTAAAATTTACTCTCTGTGGCTTCTGTGTTTATCTGGTGCTGGGGATCTGTAGCTTCTTTTAAATGGACTTTATTAACTTCTTGGACCAATTTCAAGGAAAGGCAATGCTCTTTTTTTGTTTGTTTGTTTTGGGTGGTGGTAGGCTATTAAAACCCATTGTGTCCAATTTACTATATAGGTTTGGATGCGCTTGAACTTTTGATCCTCCTGCCTTCCCTTCCCAAGTGTTGGCATTACAGGTGTACACTACAATACAATGATAGAGATTGAACACAGGAACTACATCTACATCCTTAGCCCTAATTTGTTAGTTTTTGGGGGTTTTGTTTGTTTGTTTATTTGGTGTTTGTTTTGTTTTGTTTTGTTTTGTTTTTGGAGACAGAATCCCTTGTAGGCCAGACTGGTATTGAATTTGCCATGTAGTCCATGCCAGCCTCCTTGAATTCCTGATTCTCTTGTCTTCTTCCTCAAATGCTAGAATTGTAGATATACACTGTCACTCCCAGTGTTTCTACACATTTTAAGAACCTTCTAAAATACTCAATCATATTTTTAGTTTTTGCAAAAGGACTATGCTGGGTAGTTGAGGCTGCTTGGAACTCACTGTAGGGAACAAGCTGTTCTTTAGATTATATGTAGATTGCATATACATGAACATATCACACACACACATAGTCAGGGGAAGCACTTAAGCTAAGCAATAGTTAGCCATATGTGCAATATCCATACAATTGAATATGACCAAAAAGGAATGGAGTTTATAAGGATGAACTTTGAGAACATTACATTCAAAGAAGATGCTGGGTGTGGTGGTTGCATTAATCCTCTCTAATAGCACTTGGAAGGCAGAGGGATGTCTCTGAGTTTGAGGCCAGCCTCATCTACCTAGTGAGTTCCAGACCAGCCAAGGAAATGTAGTGAGATGCCCTCCACCCCCGGTCTCAAAATAAGTTCATACCATAGATTCTGAATTTTGTGCCCCTCCCTCCCTAGAATTACTATTGTGTGTTTAATTACTGTGGCTTTTATGTTAAAGGATCTGAAAGCCAATGAGTCTCGGCTGAAGGACATTAACAAAGTAGCTGAGGACCTGGAGTCTGAAGGTCTGATGGCAGAGGAAGTACAGGCTGTGCAGCAGCAGGTGCGTATCTGAACTTTGGATCAGGTTCTTTTTTGAGTCCATAGCCCCAGAAGTCAAATTTCATAACACAGGTTTGAGGCCAGTGTAACTCACACTTCATCCTATGCTCTCCCTAAACCCATGAAGAGCTGTGGAATTTGAATGTCTGTGGTGTCTTTGGCTTTAAATTCCTAAGTTCCTTAAACAGATAAATGTTTTGCACATAAGCATTTGATTTTGGAGTTCTGCTAGCCAGCAGGCTATCTTTCCAGTCTGTTTCTGTGGCTCTTCTGTCCTCATCACTTAATGTATGGCAGTCTGAGGCATATTTTCTCTGTACTAACACTGCTTTCTTTCTCGCCTTCTAGGAGGTGTATGGCATGATGCCCAGGGTAAGTCACAGTGGTTCCATGTGGAACTGTAACTTAACAAGGATTTAGATCTTGGGAACAATATAAAGGCAAAAGCTGCTAAATGACAGAGACCTTTTGTTATGCAAAAATATGAAAGAGATTCTAGACATCTGTGCTGCCTGTCATTCTCCAGAACAAAAAATGAGGGAGTTTTGGTTTGAGTTTTGTTATTAGAGTGTTGCTATGTAGGCCAGGCTGCTGTGGAACTCATTCTGTATATCAGACCCACTACAGTCCTTCTGCCTTGGTCTCCCTACTGCTGAGATTGCAGGAGCTTACCATCTACCTGGCCAAAATATGTTTACTTTTTATCTTTCTAAAATGTTTTCCCTAATGTCATTTCTTTACTGTTAATGTTTGTTTATTTTTTCAAAGAATTCTATGAATATGGCGTAAAGAAAAGATGGCTATTATATTGAATTTTTTTAATTACTTCCACCTCTCCTGTATTTGGAAAAAAGCAATAGAGAGCTGTAGAGTTGGTCAGCAGTTACAAGCACTTGTTGCTTTTGCAGAGAACCCAAATTCAGTTTCAGGGGATCTGATGTTCTCTTCTGAACACTCTGGGCACTCAGCATGCAGATAGTGCACATGCATACATGCAGACAAAACGCTCATACTCAAAAAATAAATCTTATAAAGGGAAGGAGGCATTTCTTTGTGTGATGATTCCTTTCAGCCAGCCTTGGGCTGGTTGCTAGGCCACTGAGTTTCCCAGTGATAAAGATGAACTGTTGGAATTCCTTTGGGATCACAGTTGCTGACTGGGAAGGTACCCATTGACAAGCTGCCTAAACTCTTCCTTCTTTGACTAGGATGAAGCAGATTCCAAGACAGCCTCCCCATGGAAGGTGAGGACTCCTTTGCACATTACTAGTTCCAAGTGTTTTGTAGGAATTTGCTGCATCTTGTGTCTTTCTTGTGCACCTTTTTCTTGGTGTCAGCTTGTCATGAACTTTCACTTGGTTGGTGTGGCCATCTTCTAATCTTAGTGGCTATGTTCATTGTTTGTGGAACTGGGAGGCCTAATACACAGAAGCAGAGTGCCCAGTAAGAATAGGCCATCTTGACCTAGAGTACAACTCACTCAGGCAGTTAACACATCAGAGAGTGTTAACACATCCCACAGAGTGGCAGCCCCATTGAAATGATATGAATAGGATAGTGTCTGAGGATGGGAATGACGGTACACCTCCTGTCTGTTATCCAAGTGACCTGATCAGAAGAAACCTGTGTGTAGAAGGTCCCACCTCCAGAGTAGGAAGGGAAGGAGCAATTTACTCCCACAGCAGGCATCACTCTCATAACTTAGGGGTAGCACTGCACCTGAACAGCAAAGCTCTACCAGGAAATTTGGTAGGAGGCTTGATATATTGTCTTTCCAGCTAAGATTGCACCACCAGCTACACATATTTTAGTTTTGTAGCATCTTCTTGTCTTGTTCAGCTCTTGTAATACATTGCTCAAGTTACAGATAGAGTGTTACATAAAAATACATTCTCAAGGCATAGAAGGCAGCGTGGAAACCCATCAGAAAAGGCTTTCCATTACCAGCCTTCTGTGCTCACCCTGTGCTGTTTAGTCATCCTGTCTAACCTGTCTCAGCCCAAGCTCATGTTTCCTCATAGTTCTGTCATTAACTTGGTTTAAAAAAAAAAAAAAAAAGTATGGAACTTTTTTCATTTGATTTAATTCCCCATGTCCCAGTGTTACTTTTCTCATAGCAAAACTTAATGAGTGGACAACTTCTATTTGAATGTTCTCCCAAGCTTTTTTAGCAACTTGTATTCTTTTGAAAGTAGATTTAAAAAATTAAAAACAGGGTTTCATTATGTAGCTCTAGCTATTCTAGAACTCACTGCATAGACTGGGCTGACCTGGAAATCACTGTAAAGTAGGCTGGCCTTGAACTCACAGAGACCCACCTACCTTTGCCTCCCAAGTGCTGAAATTAAAGGCATGCTCTGCAGTGGCCAGTTGAAAATCCATTTATTAGAATACACTTATTTTTTTGTGTTCATAAGTGTGTGGGAGCAAACACAGTATGCTTATGGAGGTCAGAGGAAAGCTGGTAGGAGTTGGCTCTCCCTTTTGTATCTTGTAGATCTTATGGGTTGACAGGTCATCAGGTTGGCAGCAACTGCCTTTACCTGCTTGAACCATCCTACTGGCGCAGATTTAGGCGTCATCCTAGTTTTAAGAAGGGCTATAGACAGTGGCCCTGCCTTCTGGACCCTGTATAACACCCACATGTCATCTGGGGTTTATGGAAACATTTGATGGCTCTCCTTTATCTAAGGTGAGCCCTGCCTCCTCTTATTATACTTGAAAGATTTTGAGCCAAGAGGAGTTTTTTGTTGTTGTTGTGTTTGTAAGATCCCTGTGTGTTTACAAGTATCTACATTGTAAAAAAGAAAGCTAATTCATTGGCTTGTTTTCATTTTCCTTCAGCATACTGTTAGAAACCACAGCTTAGTAACTACGTTAGCCATGGAATGAGTTATTTCTACACCTCACTAATACCTAGTCACAGTAGCCAGTGTTTGTAGATCTTTTTCTGGAGGGTTCTTCGGTATCAACAAGAAAATATCATTCATGACTCTGAGCTGCCCTTCCTTCAGCCGCTGTCCTCAAGGGTTCAGAAGCTCTACTTGGGTATGCCTCTCCTTACAGCCAACTCCATTTATTTACTTGCTGTTTTCTTATACCTTTTTAGTAGTTGGCATTTTTATTAACGTTTCTACTTTAAATATTGCCAGTGTCTATGTAGGGTGATATGGGTTGACTATTGGGACCTATTTAGTGGTACTAGCAGATCTGTCTCTGAGTGGACAGTCTCTTAACTGGTTTCTCCTCTCACAGTCTGCTCGCCTGATGGTCCACACAGTGGCCACCTTCAACTCCATCAAGGTAAGAAGAGGTGATCTGGTTACCCTTGCTTTTCTTTACTGTTTTCCTTCATTTGACTATAGCAGAGGGCTTGTCATTGTCGCTGGAGCATGTTGTAACCAGACCCCTTTCCTTAGATCTCAGAAATATACTCAAGCATCTGATGAGGATGCTTGAGTAACTAACAGTGTGTGTTAGTTACTTTTCATTGCTGTGACAAAATACTCTGACAAAGGCATTTATAAAAGAAAGGGTTTAATTGGGCTACGGTTTCAATTTACAGTCCATAATGGCATGGCAGCAGGAACATCCAAGACTCCTCTTATTGTGCAAAGAGGAGGCAGAGAGAGTATATTGAGAATGGCTGATCTTTCGAAACTTCAAACCTGCGCAACCCCCAGTGACACATCTTCCCCAAACAGAATCCAAACAGTTCTCCCAGTGGTTGGAGAGTCAACTCAAGTATTCAAACACGAGCCTGGCGGGCCATTCTTATTTACACCAGCACAGAGAAGCACTGAAAACCTTCACTGAGCTTTCCAGTGGAGCAGGAACTCACCATGCCTGCTGCCTGCCCTTACCTTTCCTAGATGTGTTCTGGCCCAAGACTTTATTGTAGTGCTGAGAGAAGACTCTCAGATGTCTCCATCTGGCAGGTACTGCTCCTGTAGGTGCCACATGCCTGGCACCAGCACCAATGGTAGTTTCTCCCAGTGTTGAAAAGACAGCTCCTAGGTCAGGCAGTTGGGGGATTTGGGAGCTGTTACATATAACTGGTTCTGATCTCTGGAAGATGGCTGTTGTGGTACATCACTGGTGTATTTGCAAGGAAGATTTGAAATGGAAAATTACAGGTGACCATTTTCCTAAGGCCTGGTTGTGGGTGTGGCTAGAACAGGTTAGAAGAGAGCTCACGTTGCTTCTCTCCTGCAGGAGCTGAATGAGCGTTGGCGGTCCCTGCAACAGCTGGCTGAGGAACGTAGCCAGCTCTTGGGCAGTGCACACGAAGTACAGAGGTTCCACAGGTGAGTGGACTCGGGGTTGGCTGGGGCAGAAAGAAATAAGGACTTTACCCCTCATACATGAGGCTTGCTGAGTGGAACCTCACCATAAGTAGCTATGTCTTACCAATGTTTGGGCTCTTGACACCAAAGCCATGTAAGAAGCAATGAGTGGATGCTGTTAATAATGCTGGAAATGAATGTGTGTAACTATTACAGACACACAAGTGCCAGCCCTGGGACGAAGGCAGTGGTGCTTGGCACTGACCCATTTGTCTTACTTCCAGAGATGCTGATGAAACCAAAGAATGGATTGAAGAGAAGAATCAGGCTCTGAACACAGACAATTATGGCCATGATTTAGCCAGTGTCCAGGCCCTGCAGCGCAAACATGAAGGCTTCGAGAGGGACCTTGCAGCTCTTGGCGACAAAGTAAGAGATGCTTGGGGAAAACTGAGGTCTAAATTCTGCCAAGTACAGCTGTTTCCCTAAACATTCTTAACACTATTTGCCTATAGGTGAATTCTCTTGGGGAGACAGCCCAGCGCCTGATACAGTCCCACCCTGAATCTGCAGAGGACTTAAAGGAAAAGTGCACAGAGTTAAATCAGGCCTGGACCAGCCTAGGGAAACGTGCAGACCAGCGCAAGGCCAAATTGGGTGACTCCCATGACCTGCAACGCTTCCTTAGCGATTTCCGGTAAAAAAAAGACAACAAAGACAAGTTTCTTAGTTATGTTTCTATTTCTGTGATAAAACACCATGACCAAGTTCATTTATATAAGAAACTGTTTATTTGGGACTCAGAGTTTCAGAGTTCATGAACGTCATGGCAAGGAGGATGTTATTGGAGCAGTAACTGAGAGGGCTTTTGTTTTGGTTTGGGTTTTGGTGTTTTGAGACAAGGTTTCTCTGTGTAGCCCTGGCTGTCCTGGAACTCACTTTGTAGACCAGGCTGGCCTTCAGCTCACAGAGATCCACCTGCCTCTGCCTGGGAGTAAAGGTGTGCACCACACCACCACCCATATGAGAACTCAAATCTTTAGACACAATTGTAAGGCAGAGAGAACCAGCTAGAAGTGGAGGGGATTGTAGAGCCAGCCCCAGTGATACATCTCCAGCGAGCCCACGCACTCTAGTCCTTGCCAAACAGTTCCACCAGCCAGGGAAGAAGCATTCTGACATATGAGCCATTCTCATTCAAATGGCATACCAAGTGTCATTCAAAGAATTTTGCTATATAGAACCTTTATAGTAGTTGGTTTTACTATAAACGTAACTGTTTGATATATTCAAACTACCAAATGCCAAAAATCTTTACAGTAAGTCTGTTTCTGCAATATGCATGTGCACTCAGGTCCATGTCATCTTATCAACTGTGTTTTTTTTATTTAAATTTATATTGCGCTTAATATAGATATACTTAATCTTTTTTACCTACTTTTTTTTAAATTTAAAATAGTTTCAGTTTCACAGATAAGTTGAAAAAGTCATACAGGAGCAACTCTGGTATTAACTGGTGCCTGTGGTCACCAGTTAATTTTGTGATATTCTCATTAATGTAGGTTCTTTTGTTTTCTGAGCAACAGCATATAGGTTGTAGGTCCTAGCATTATCCTTATCACATCCATAATGAATTCATTAATAGTATCTAAACCTTTATTCACATTTTCTTGGTTGTCTCCAATATAAATTTTATAACTAGGAGTCTGGAGGTATTGTTTGATCCAGGGTCCCTCAACTTGGAGCAGTACCTCTAACACTGTTTGTCGTCTTCCATGCCACTGTCATTCTTTGTTGTAGACGGCGATTAATATTTATTATCGGTTTATCTTCTGGTAGCGCTGCTGTTAATCCTCAGCAGCTGTAAAACCAAATCACCACACAGAGACTGGGTTTTTAGTTAATCTAGAACACAATGCTGGGCAATATTTACTCCCTAAACCTCCAAGCCCTCAGTTTCCTAACATTTAGATTTCCCACATTATACTTGCTTTTTGTGAAATCTTAGGTCAGGTTCATGCTCCAAGTCCTCCAAGCTCTCTCCTCCTGCTCTGCTCTCTTCGTGCTCCTCTCCTCGAGCTCCTCCTCCTTCTCACCCCTTCCTGTTCTCTAGCTCCTCCCCCTTTCCTGTCCTCTGGCTCCTCCCATTGCACAACATTGTATCTAGTTGCTTTATTTGTGTCCTGTTTACACAAGAGTGAGTATCACAATGCAATATCCAGATTGAAACCAGAGAGTTGGGGGTGGGGAAATCAGCATTTGAATTAACAAGCATAAGGCATATACATTTCAAAAGAACATTATACCAACAATTCTTTAAGAGTACAGGTTAGGTGTCATACCAGATTTCCCATAATCTACTGCCTCTGTCTTTTAATGGCTGTATGGCACTTCACCAAGTGGGTGATGGACAGCTGACTTGGATTCGTGTAGTCTCAGACATTCCCTCTCTTGGATGGAAGCCAGCAGAAGGTACTCCTCCACTTCCCAGGCTTGGGTCCTCTGGAAAAGCAGGAAGTACACTTAATCATTAAGGCATCAGCTGTTCATTTTTCCTCTGAAGAATTCTTGGTCTTGCTTCATTTTATTTATTTTTTGTTGTTATTTTTTTCTTCCATAAACTTTGATTATTACATTTATTTATTGCATATATGTGTGTGTATGTATGTATGTATGTCCACACATACATGTTTGTATTCCACAACTCCCACCTAAATGCTAGAGAACAACTTGGAGAAGTCAGTTCTCTCCACCCTGTGCATTCAAAACATAAAATTCAGGCCTCTACTCACTGAGCCATCTTGTTGCCTCCATTGTGAGACCCCCTTTTTTAAATTTTATTATATATGTATGTATTTATTTTGGGTTTTTGAGAAATGACTTCTCTGTGTAGTCCTGGCTGTCTTGAAACTTGCTCTGTAGACCAGGTAAGCTTGGAACTCAAAGATCACCTGCTTCTGCACTTGAGTGCTGGGCTAAAAGGTGTGTGCCAGCCTGCCCAGCTCTTCTTTCATGAAAGGAATATTACAATTGCACCAGTGGCACATTCCTTGCAAGCCCTGCTATGGACTCCCTCTTGCTCTCTTTCAAATTCATGCCTCTTTCAGTGTGTGTGTGTGTGTGTGTGTGTGTTCATTGTACACACTCAGTTTGTACAATGTTATTCTACTTTTTTTGTATATATTTTCATTTGGTATTGGATAACCAGTTAGTGTGTTCTTCCCCTGGGGAAGACTGTTTCTCTTTATCTCAGAATTACTTATCCTCTGGCTCTTACAGTCTCTGCCCCTCTTCTGCAATGATCCTGAGCCTTAGGGGTGCAGGCCTTGTATTAGAGATGCATCAGTTGGGACTGAGCTTCATGATTCTGCATTTTGTTTGTATTTTCTATAATAGTCAGTGTTTATTGCTTGATAAAGGGTGAAAACTACCTAGCTAGATCCAGAGAAAAGATCCCCCTCTTTTTTTTTGGTCACAAACAAGAGGCTCAGCAGGGCTCAATTTATGACCAGGTTAACGTTAAATAGCCCTCTAAGGCAGAAGCATTGCAACCGGTTCCTGGGCATAAGGCCTGCTTATTGCCATATAGTGTAATGGGTGTTCCTTTGTGAATCTGGTTTCTAGGGACCTTATGTCTTGGATCAATGGAATACGAGGGTTGGTATCTTCAGATGAGCTAGCCAAGGATGTCACTGGAGCTGAAGCTTTGCTGGAGCGACACCAGGTAAGTCCTGCTGGCTTAGTGGCCTTACCCCTCCCCCTCTTGGGAGCCAGTGGTTAACACTAGTGTGGGCGTCTTCGACAGTTACCTAATCCCTTCTCCTCTTGGCAGGAACACCGGACAGAAATTGATGCCAGGGCTGGCACTTTCCAGGCATTTGAGCAGTTTGGCCAGCAGCTGTTGGCTCATGGACACTATGCCAGCCCAGAGATCAAGGAGAAACTTGATATTCTTGACCAGGAGCGCACAGACCTGGAGAAGGCGTGGGTCCAGCGCAGGATGATGTTAGACCACTGTCTTGAGTTGCAGGTGTGTGCACTTGAGTCCTCATCAGGTATTTCTTGCCAGTGGCCAAATCTTTCTTCACACCTACCTGTCTACTCTGTAGCTGTTCCATCGGGACTGTGAGCAAGCAGAGAACTGGATGGCTGCCCGGGAGGCCTTCTTAAACACAGAAGACAAAGGAGACTCTCTGGACAGTGTGGAGGCTCTGATCAAAAAACATGAAGACTTTGACAAAGCTATCAACGTACAGGTGGGGCCCTGGACCGTGAGGTCCTCATTTGGGTTTGTCTTGAGTCACATCTTATTTGATGGCATCCTCTTGGTGACTAGATTTAAAAAATAGTTACAGACTTGGCTATATTAGTTAAAAACTGTTGATAGCCTTCTTAATATTCTTGTTATTCAGGAGTTAGATACAGGTGTAGCTCTGAAGTACAAGGCCAGCCTGGACTACGTAGAATGTTGCACATTAGCTAGGGGTACATAATGAGACCCTGTCTCTTAAAAAACATTTTTAATGCTATTTAGGTGGCAGCTGTAGTTGTATGTTAGAGTATTGCCTACTGTGGTAGAGGGTCTTGGGTTCGATCCCCAGTGCTGTAAAAAATGCCTTAGCACCAACTAAGATTTTCATATCAGCTACAAAAAATAATAATTATATTGGGCTAGATACATGGCTTACTGGTAAAGAGCCTGCTCCTGAAGAGGACTTGATTTCAGCTCCCAGCATCCTCATCAGGTAGTTCACTAGTACATGTAACTCCAGCTTCCAGGGATCTGATGCCTCTCTCCTGCAGGTACCCACACTCAACGTATGCGTGCAACTGCGCACACAGGCATGAGCACATAACCATAATTAGAAATAAATCTTTTCTAAAAGTATAGTCAGTTACACATCAACAAATAGTCGGGAAACTGTATATGAATAACTTTTTATTTTTTTAAGATTCATTTATTATGTATACAGTGTTCTGCCTACATGTTTGCCTGCATGCCAGAAGAGGACACCAGATCTCAGTATAGATGGTTATGAGCCACCATGTGGTTGCTGGAAACTGAACTCAGAACTTCTGGAAGACTAGCCAATGCTCTTAACCTCTGAGCCATCTCTCCAGCCCATGAATAATTATTTTAAAAACTAGACCATGTGTGGTAACATACCTTTATTCCTTCCAGTACTGGGAAAGCTGAGGTAGGTAGACTGGAGGCTAGCTTGGCCTACATAGCCAGCTCCAGGCCAGACCAGCTCCAGGCCAGACCAAGTTAGATAGTAAGACCCTGTCTCAAACCACAACAGCAAAAAACCTTGAGGTACCAGCTGTTGTTGGACTTCTGTAATCTCAGCGTGTGGGAAGCTGAGATGGAAAGATGGAATTCAAGGCCAGTCTGAGCTACATGACAAAGCAGTCTCCAAGGAAACAAAGCTTGCAACCCAGGGCCAGAACACGGCTTAGTATGCAGTAGTCCCTTAGTCCAGCACATAGCGCTGAAGCAACGTTTAAAATCTTCCTGAAGAAACCGTAGAAGAAACAAAACTCAGGTGAGGTCCTGGAAGTAGCTATGTGGTGCAGGCCTTGAACTCACAAGAGATCTGCCTGCCTCTGCTGGGATTAAAGGCATATGACACCATACCCAGCCTCTTCTCCCATCCCCGCAAAAAAAAAAAAAAAAAAAAAAAAAAAAAAAAATTCTAAGGATGAAATTTTATGTTTTGATAACATAATTCAAACAAGGAACAAAATAGACAGCTGGGACTTGAAAACCATTTTGTTGGAAACAGAACTTATTTTATGAGCCTAATTTGTTAGACATCTGCTGGTGTCCCAGAACCTGCACACCTCAGTATGACCTGAAGTCCTCTTGAATTAAACCCTACTCTAGTAATGATGATAATCAAGCTGGCTTCTAAAGTGTCATTGTGTTCCGATCCTGCCACCAGTTAGTTCCATCACCCAAAGTGTAACTATCTTCTCTGAAAACTAGCAGGCTTGACAGGCCTTGTTCAGCCGCCCTGACCTCTGCCTATTTGCCCTTAGGAGGAAAAGATAGCTGCCCTGCAGGCCTTTGCCGACCAGCTCATTGCTGTTGACCACTATGCCAAGGGAGACATTGCAAACCGACGCAATGAGGTCCTTGACAGGTGGGTGTCCTGTGGTGGTGACAGTCACCAGCCAGATCTGAGAAGCTGAATGCCCACATGCGAGAAGTTACACCTACTCCAGTTTTGTCTGTTCTGGGAAAGAACACTCATATTTGATCTTCACGGTCAGGTGGCGCCGCCTGAAAGCCCAGATGATTGAGAAAAGGTCAAAACTTGGAGAATCTCAAACACTTCAGCAGTTCAGCCGGGATGTGGATGAAATTGAAGCCTGGATCAGTGAGAAGTTACAGACAGCAAGTGATGAGTCATATAAGGACCCCACCAATATTCAGGTGAGTGGGACTCTGGATGCTTGTTCTACAGTACCCTGTGTTGTGAGTAGAGCTGTTAAATGAGACTCTGTAAAGAGTACATCTATAAAGCCATCTGCACTGTGCTGAGGCTGAAGGAGTCCACTGGGTCAGTAGAGCCATTTGGAAGCTGCTCCCTTTCTTGCTGGCTTCTGTAGAAGCTTATCTGCTATAATATGTTCTAATGGTCCTGTTCCTATGCTTTCCCAAGTACTGAACTTGGGGAAGTATGGTGGCAGAGTGAATCTGTAATAGCTGAGACGTGTTCACATCAGTGTACTGAACTTTTCTTTCAATCTGTTTTTGTAGCTTTCCAAGCTGCTGGTAAGTTTTTTTTACGCTTATAAGAGTTCTAGATTTGTGAGCTCTGGGATTTGTGTTCTACTTTGTAGAGTACTGTTACTGTGGCTACATACAGTCCACTGGTGTCTATTCATCCATCATCATTCTAATCCCCAGTCAACCCTCATCCAGTGTCCCTGTGAGATATGGCTTTCTCTTTTGTAATTAGCCTCTAGTCCCTATCTCTTCCTCCCTGTTTCATCATCCAGGCAAGTTCTGTACTACAGTGTTTGATTTGGGAGCAGTAGTTGATCACTTTCTTTCAAGGGGTGCTTTTGAAAATGGAATATCAGCTTCTTTATGTAAACTGTGACTTTGTTTTCCTGGGCTCAAGGTGTCAAGTGGCCTGGGAGGTCAGGCTTGCTTGGGATGAATCCAATACATACAGGCTGGGGTTCAGAAGTGCTGGCCTGGAGAACTGGAATAGCAAGGTGTGCTTCCAGTTGTGCATACATTGTTCAGGAGGTCACAAAAAGAGACACCTGTCACCACATGGCTCAAAAAGTCCCAGAACTGGAAAGAGAAAATAAAGCTCTAGAAAAGAATAAATGGGTTTGGGCCAAGCACAGGTTGACTACATTGTCAGGATCTGTAGGTGAGATCTCTGGTTGCTAGCCAGGGTCCCCTCACTCTAATAGTTACTGCCTCTGAAATGCAACATTGAGTGCAGAATTCTTGGCCAACTAAGCTGTTTTGTTCTCTTCTCTCTCTCTCTCTCTCTCTCTGTATTTTTTTCTTTCCTCAATAACATCCCCTGAGACAATTTCTTGCTTTCCACAATTATATTACAGCTGCTGTATCCTCACAATCATATCTCTTAAGTGTTTTCAGCATCTTTTGTTTCTTAACAAATTCTTAGAAACCGTACAAGGCCCCCAGCTCTCTCTTCCTGGCAAAAATAAAGTTCAGCCTGCCTTTAGACTGGGTTTTAGCAGCCTCATGTTTTGATTAATGACAGGTACCAAAAATAAGCCTACAAAACCAAATCTTTCTCAGCAGAGGAACTGCTGCAGCCATCCATGTGTTCCTGCTGTGGGTGGTAGGATAGCCCATACATAATGCCTGTCAGGGGTTCTGTCCAGGAAGGATAAAGACGTGGGTTGGCACTGGCACATGCTTAGAGTCAAAACTGAAATTTGACCCTTTTGTCTCCTACAAAATGTTAAAAAGTACAAAAATTTGAGGCTTTGCTACCTGCCTGCTGGTGAGCTGTTCAGAACTGGCTTTACCCTACTGCCCCTGAACCTAGCGCATCTCCCTTTCTGGCCTAAACCTACCTCTGCTGGGCTTTCATAGACCCCACACAACAGTACCACACAACCTGTGGTAGCTTTCTGTCCACCCCAGTGCTTGCCTTGTTCCTTACCTTCCTAGCTAGCACTTTTTTCCCTTCTGAGTATCAATTTTGCTTTAAGGACAAACCTGGCAAGAACTGCCTTTGAATGGTGGTTTGCTTGGTATTTTCAGAGTAAACACCAGAAGCACCAAGCCTTTGAGGCAGAACTGCACGCCAATGCTGACCGAATCCGTGGAGTCATCGACATGGGCAACTCCCTCATCGAGCGTGGGGCCTGTGCTGGCAGTGAGGATGCCGTCAAGGTATGGCCCAGGGGCCCATATTGACTCCAGAAAGAATGGCAGCATGCTACTGTCCACTGTACTACACCTGATACTGCTTAAGACCTACAGTCTCTGGAATTCAAGAACATAGTTCCTGTGATTGTTTCTACTTACTCTTTAAGATTTCTGATTTGGGTCTTTGGAATGGGTTCTTTAAGCTGGGTGTGGTGGCACACACCTTTAATCCTCAGGTGCAGAGGCTGGCAGATCTCTGTGAGTTGAGGGTAGCCTGGTCTACCCAGAACAGTCAAGGTTACAGAGAACCCTGTCTGGGGTAGCCGGGGGTGGGGGGGAAGGAATGGGTCCTTTGGAGATTTCTGTATCCCAAGTGACTCCCATCTCTTGTAAGGCCCGTCTAGCTGCCCTTGCAGACCAGTGGCAGTTCCTGGTGCAGAAATCAGCTGAGAAGAGCCAGAAGCTAAAAGAGGCCAATAAGCAGCAGAACTTCAACACTGGAATCAAAGACTTTGACTTCTGGCTCTCTGAGGTAATGTGAGGTGCATCTCGCTCCCTACCATCAGGGAATTTCTAGGCATTTGATAATGAATGAGTCAGTCAGTCAGTCAGCCTTAAACAGAAGTCCACATTGTGAAAAAGGTTCAAATTCCTGTTAGGAATTGCTAAGCAGGGTGAATAGAGGTTTAGAGCAGAAAACTGGTTTCAGAAGATTCTGGATAACAGACTCTCACCAAGGCAGTGTATAAGGGAGTTGGGGAGGCAGTTCCAAGAATCTGCACCAAGATAGAACTAAAAGGACAGAAAGGAAGGGAGCCAGAGTCTAGGCACTTGAAGAAAATTGGGACAGCAGAGGCTCTAAAGAGCATGATTTTAGAGACAACTACATTTCAGAATCTCTTTCCAGTCTATGTGTTTTCCTGAATTGTACTATGATTTAAACATTCCCATGTGCCTTAAGCTCAAGGGTTCCTAGAGTGCACCCGGCTCACACTGTGGTCCTGAATATTAATGACAAAGTGTAACTGGTGGTTGAAAAGGACCTAGAACAGCACTCAGCCATACTGAGTTTTCCAGAACACTACGCATGCACCCTGTAATAACCATTCCCTTTTGTGTTTCAGGTGGAGGCTCTCCTGGCATCTGAAGACTATGGCAAAGACCTTGCTTCTGTGAACAATTTGCTGAAAAAGCATCAGCTGCTAGAGGCAGATATATCAGCCCATGAGGTTAGCAGTGTGACATATGGGAGGACAGAGTGATTAGAAGGAATCCCAAGAGTATCCCAGGGTGTTGAAGAGAGCTAGAGCTAGAGCTAGGAAGGAAAGTGATGCCTGGCACCCAAGGCAGCACTTTGTATTTGGCTGGCTTCTTGATTTTTCTCAGCCTAGCTTTATACAGATCTGATCTGTAAGTACTAATCTTTGTGAGAAAATTGGTTGATAGCCTCTGCCCCCCTCTCCCTACTGCTGGAGATGTAGCTTAGTGGTACAGCAGTTGCCTAGCATGCCCAAGGGTCTGGGTTCTATCCATACTGGTAAAAAATGGAAACAGTTTAGTTTGCATATATATTTTGTTGTTTACTTTTTTGGGTTTTGTTTATTTGTATAGGTTTTGGTTTGGTTTTTTTGTTTATTTGTTTGTTTTCTCAAAAGAGGGTTTCTCTGTGTAGTGCTGGCTGTCCTGAACTCCCCCAGTACACCAGGCTAGCCACAAACACAGAGATCTGCCTGCCTCTGCCTCTGAAGGGCTGTGATTAAAGGCATGTGCCACTACTGCCCAGCAGTTGGTTGTTGTTTGTTTTGTTTGTGAAGAGGTCTTGCTGTATATATGGCTGGTCTCAAACAAGATTCACCCACTCTGATTTAGGGTGCTGAAATTAAAGGTATACACAGACGCACCCAGCTCTTTATTTTTGAAGCAGGCACTCAGTACATAGCCCTGACTTCAGAGTTACAGTAGAGTTTCTAACTCTGGCTCCCAAATGCTGAGCCTATAGCATCTACAGCACATCTGCAGCTTTAAGTAGTTCAAGTACTAGTTCCATGGTGTAAGCAGCATTTATGTGAATGGTGATAGCTTTTCTAACGAGATGTGTGTGAGAAGGGCTGCATTGGTTACATCTTTGCAGATGTCTTAATGTCCATCCTACAGAGGAAGTATGGAGTTCATGCTTCTGGTTGGTTTGTTGTGTGTGGTGTGTATGATAGGCATACATACCTAGACTAAAGATAGAGGAGGAGGAGAAATTTGATTCAGACTGTTGGGGAATAGTTTTCCTCTGCTTTTATACCAGTACCTGGAATTGTTAATAGTTTTTCAACTTTATTACAAAGTAGAATCAGTTTTTCACACTGAATTATATCAAAAACTGTCTTTGTGTTCTGTATCATTGGTCCATCTTAGGCTTGGGGTAGATTGTATCTACTTGTAATTCTATCACATGTCTGTCTCAGTTAGAAAATATTGGTACTCTGAGTTAGCCATGTTGGTTCTAAATACTTAACACCTTGCTAGTCTCGTCAGAAAAACTTCTGAGGTACCAGATAAGAATTTTCCAAAAGTTTGAATTTTATCATTGGCAATTGACTTCAGTTTCTGGCAAGTGACAAACTCGCTTCATTTGTCTTGAGGGGCAGGGTGGGCACAGGTAAAGCTGAGTCTTACACTGTAGCACAGCCTGGCCTTGAACTCAGTGCCTTGGCCTCCCGAGTACTGGAGGTACAGGCTGATCCCACACATCCAGCTCACTTAGTGTCTGTTGGAGAATCAGGGCTGAATGATCATAGTTTTGAGTCCTTTAAAGTAAAATGTGGATTTTTAAAAAAATTATTTGTTGGGGGTGGGGTAGTTCAGTCAGAGGATAACAAAGGAGTCAATTCCTTCCTATCCCAGACTGAACTTAAGTCACCCTCTGAGTCATCTTGCCGGCCCTAGATGTTAAATTAAACAAGCTTTGCTAAGGAGGTGGATCTCTTTGATTTCCAGGCCTGCCAGGACTGCATGGTGAGACCCTGTCTCAAACAAAACAAAATTTACTAACTTCTGCTGCTTTTCAAAGGATACTGTGAAATTGGTGATGCAACTTAGTGGCAAAGTGTGCTTATCCTACACAAGACTCAGTTCAATCTCTAGCATCAAAATATGAAAGGATGAAGAAATAAAGGCCACTGCTAAGCAAGATAATAAAGATGGCAATGACAGCCTCGTCTACAGAGCGAGTTCCAGGATAGTCAGGGCTACACAGAGAAACCCTATCTTGAAAGGTATAAAGCAAAAAGTGGGTTTCTGCTTCCGCCAGTGCACTGCATTCTGCATCTTACTTCCTTCCCACCATCAGTACACATTTCCACATGATGACAGGGAAATAAGTCCTGGTGTCTTTATGAGAATAGTTTAATCTTACAGAGCTGCATTGGTCCAACATAATATACCCTGATGAATGAGGCTGGCCCAGTAAGGAATTAATGATTGCTGGTTTCAGGGGCCGGGTTTCTGAGCCCTCTCGTGTCACTGCCACAGGATCGTCTGAAGGACCTGAACAGCCAGGCTGACAGCCTGATGACCAGCAGTGCCTTCGACACCTCCCAAGTGAAAGAGAAGCGGGACACCATCAACGGACGCTTCCAGAAGATCAAGAACATGGCAACTTCCCGAAGAGCAAAACTGAGCGAGTCCCATCGCCTGCACCAGTTCTTCCGAGACATGGACGATGAGGAGTCCTGGATTAAGTATGTGCCTGCAGTTATGTGTTCAGTGTCTCACAGGGCTGCCTGGAGAGGCAGGGGTTTCAGGCTTCCTTGCTCTCTAGGGGTGACTGGAAAGTGTGATGGAAGGGCACAGTTGAGGGACTTTGCCAGGCTCCCTACTCTTCTACTGCACACCAGTGAGCAGTACTGGGATTACCCAGTGCTGGTTGTAGCTATGATGTCACAGTAGACCCTACCCTTTGGGTCCCTAAGACAGTTGTTGTTTTGGGGTTTTTGAAACAGGATCTGTCTATGTAGTCCTGGCTTTCCTGAGGCTTACGATGTAAACCGTGCTGGCGTCAAACCTGCAATTTGTTTTTTTCAATCTCTCACACCCTTAAATTTTCTACACAGCAAGCTCCAAGACAGCCAAGGCAACACAGAGAAACCATGTCTCGAAAAACTAAGCAACAAAAATTAACTCCCCTCCACCTCCCAAACACTACAGCATGTTAAACACGCCGTTTTCTATCTATGGCTGGCAGTTTTGTTTTAGAGTTTTCTGGTTGGGACACTCTCATGTCCCAACCTAGGTGATCCTCAGCCTTGCTGTGTAATTCAGTACAGCCCTAAAACCCCGAGGCTCCTACTTCCCCCTTCTAAGTCTGGGATTATGGGTGTGAATTACTGTGCTTTATCTAAGCTGGCCACTTTAAAAGAAAAACTCCTTCTTATGCCTTACACCATTAAAAGCTCTTTAGAAAATTATGAGTTGGGGCTGAGGAGATGGCTCAGCACACACATGGAGGCTCACAGCCATCCATGACTTCAGTTCCAGAGGATTTAGCACCCTCTGCTGACTTCTCTGGGCACTGAGCATGCATGTGGTATACATACAGGCAAAGCGTTCACACGTATAAAGTAAATAAATCTAAAAAACATTTTTTAACCTAAAAAATGTTGTACAAGTAAACACCTGTTTTGTTTGTTTTTGTTTCTGACACAGGGTTCCTCTCTGTAATCTTGGTTGTCCTGTACTCCCTTTGTAAATCAGGCTGGCCTCTAACTCAGAGATCTAACTGCCTCTGCCTCTCTGAGTGCTGCGATTATAGGCTTGCGTCACCATGCCTGGCTCTTTTTAGTAGTTTTTAAGACAGGGTTTCTCTGTGTTGCCTTAGCCGTCCTGGAACTCTGTAGGCCAGACTAGCCTTGAACTCAGAGAGATTAGCAAGCCTCTAACTCTCATATGCTGGGATTAAAGGCATGTGCCATCACACCTGCCTTAAAGAAATGCCTTTCTATGTTTTTCTCTGTGTGCCATGTGAGTAAATGAAGTTAATAATAACACGGTGGTACTCCTCTTCTCAGGACAGGGCCTGTTCTCTAGACCCATTACATACAGGGGAGCCATGTTTGTTGACAAATGTGCGAAGCCAGAGGCAAGTCTAGATCCACGACTTTGGAAAACAGAGGCTTCTGTTTTCAGGAAATGGGAACGGATTTTTATGAAGAAAGTGGTAGAGGTTAGAGGATGCCAAGAGTTAGTGGCTGAACTAACACCCTGTGGACATGAACAGGTATAGCTGATTATACTACCATTGCTCTTCAGGGAGAAGAAGCTGCTAGTGAGCTCTGAAGACTATGGCAGAGACCTTACTGGTGTTCAGAACCTGAGGAAGAAACACAAGCGGCTAGAAGCCGAGCTGGCTGCGCATGAGCCGGCCATTCAGGTGAGGGGTTGCCTTCTGCTGAAAGAACAGGACCATGGGAACAGGGTCAGATATAGGCAAAGTCCTCTGATCTTACGCCCTGTAGTCCTATAATCATGATACCTTATCCCAGCCAAGAAGAAGCAATTCTGTTGTTTGTTTTGAGACAGGATTTCACTGTGTAACCTTGGCTGGTGTAAAACTCCTAGTGTAGACCAGACTGACCTCAAACTCAGAGATTGCCTGCTTCTGCCTCCCAAGTGCTGGTAGTAAAGCAGTGTGCCACCACATAGCCTGAAGGTATAATTGTGAATGTGATATTGAGACTTCCTGGCACTTTGAGCCACAGCTGCTGGAACTAAGCATTTGGCAAGCCCTGCCAGTGTTGACTTTTATTCTCACTTTCCAGGGTGTATTGGACACTGGGAAAAAGCTGTCTGATGACAATACCATTGGACAGGAAGAGATCCAGCAGCGTCTTGCGCAATTTGTGGAGCACTGGAAGGAACTGAAGCAGCTAGCAGCTGCACGGTAAGCACTCAGGCACAGACAGGCCTGGCCCTTCCTGCCAGCTCCCAAGCCCTTTCCTTTGGTGTCAGGTATTATCTTACACCAGAGCCACCTCCAACAGTCCATTCTGAGCTTGTCCTGTCCTATTTGTCTGAACCTAGCATTAATTCCAGAGCTTCCTCTTCTGAAAAGCACTGTCTGCCTGTGTCTCTGAGAAGGCTAAGCCATGTTTCCACACAGACACACCTTCATATGGATATTTTATGCAAAGGAGAACCCTTTTTTTTTTTTTAATTGGACCTGAGATCTTAAACACACTAGTCGTCAAAGGTCAGTACCACTTCATGGATATTTTACGTACATAACTAACGATTTTTCTTCTCGCTGATAAGGGGTCAGCGGCTAGAGGAGTCCTTGGAGTATCAGCAGTTTGTAGCCAATGTGGAAGAGGAAGAGGCGTGGATCAACGAGAAAATGACTCTGGTGGCCAGTGAAGATTATGGAGACACTCTTGCTGCCATCCAGGTCAGGAGAGCTAAGCAAGCGCATGAGCATTGAAGGTGTGCTAGCTTACATTCTGAAGATGGGGAGTCTGCGGTGTAGTGCAGGCCAGCTAGGGTCCCAGAGCAGCGTCCTTACTGCTTCTAGGACCGTGCCTTTACTCCAGGCTCTGTTTCCACATCACCATCTCCCTCTCTGTCTACTTTTTTTTCTTTTGGCATTCTGTTCAGCATGCCTGTCTGCCCAGATTGACCTCTTTTTGTAAGAATACAGTCTTATTGGTTAGAAACACCACAAAATATCCCTTAATGACCTTTTTCTCATGTTCATGGCCCTAGAAGTTAAGCTATCCCATAGCTACTTCCAGTTAGTTAACACTTCCTCTGTGATGACTTGCACTGGTGGATATGTAATCTCCACTGTTTCTAAGGTAAAAACTGAGCAGAAAAACTTCAGTTGGCCACAGTCACAGACTGGCAGCTTGGATGTTTTTTCAAACCACTCGGATTCTCATCCTACTATAGGCTGGATCAGTTTCCAATACTTTGTTCAAAGAGGCAAAGGCAGAAAACATAGGGTGTTAAAGGCATTGCCTGTTTTCAGAGCTGGCCCTGAGGCAGCCCTGTCATGGGATAGGAGAGGTCACATAGCACCATGGTTCCAGCCAGCAGATGTGGAAGCAGTTTTCTCTGCCTTGAGCCATTCTCTGTACAGTAGGAGAAATTCAGTGGCATCTCTCAGGTTGTGGTTGAGGTCCCTAGAAGCAACAAGGGGAATACTGTTCTCCAGTCATTAGGGAGCTAGGCAGAAGACTGGGTCCCCAGTGGAATGTTCTTAGAAGAGTTGTTGCTCTATTGGGTGTTCATGTCCACCTCTCTGACCAACCTTGATTAGAGTAGTCTGCAGACCTTCAGCCTTCCTGGTCTGTAGCTTCCCTGTGCCATGTGACACTGCTTCCCCTGCAGCCTATTCTCTCTCACCCTTAGTTCCCTAGGACCGACCATGCTAAGTGCTTCCCCCGGTTGAGTAGAAAGGAGGAGGACAGGTCTTATAGCTGTGTCACTCTCTATTCAGAAACCTAGCGTATTACACAGTGGCTGACCTCACTCCTTTCTCTCCAGGGCTTACTGAAGAAACATGAAGCTTTTGAGACAGACTTCACTGTCCACAAGGATCGGGTGAATGATGTCTGTACTAATGGACAAGACCTCATTAAGAAGGTGAGCCTGGATCCCAGGAAAGCCTTGTTCTCACCCAGGGTAGCTGTACCTGCAGAGTACACCAAGCTGAGGCCTTAGTAGAGACTGTCAGCAGGTCCGGCCCTTGCTTCCTATAGCAGAAAAGAGTTACTTCTAATTTGGCAAATTACTCCTTAGGCTACCAGTTTTTGGCCTTAAGTGAGGAAGTACATCTTGTCGGGTTTTTTCCTAACAGTAGGGCTTTCCAGAATACTATTCTTCCTTCATTGCTTTTCTTTTTTTACTGTTTTATGTTTGTGGGTTTGCCTTCACATATATCTGTGCACCGCATTCATGCAGTGCCCAAACATGTCAGAAAAGTGTGTTGGATCCCCTACAGTTGGAGTTACATACAGATGTGGGTGCTGAGAATTGACCCTTGAGCCTCTGGAAGAATAGCCAGTGCTCTTAACCACTGAGCCATCTCTCCAACTTTTTTTTTAAAGATTTTATTTTGTGTTTATTTTTTATAGTGCACACACAGAGACCACAGGAGGGCATTAGATTCTCTTCTTCTCCCCTTCCCCCCTAGCTGAAATTACAAGCAGTTGTGAGCCACCTTGTGGTCTCTGGCAACCCCCAGTCCCATCTTCCTTGGTGATAAAGGATACTATAAAGATAATAGAAAACAAAATAAATAAGTAGAAACTACCCATTGTGACATGGTGGTACACTCCTGCAGTGAGTTCCAGCCTAACCTGGACTGCATAGTATAACCCTGTCTCAAATCATCATCATCATCATTACCCCTAGAAATTACCCAGAAAGCCATCACGCAGAAATGGGTATTCTAGAATTTTCTATTTTATCTTGAGACAAGTTTTTTTCTTGTAGCCCAGGCTGGCTTCCAACTTGTTCTGTAGTCAAGGATGACCTTGACCTCCAAATCCTCTTACCTCTAGCTCACAGGTAACTGGGAATACAGCTATGTGCCACCACGCCTGGCTCATTGAGATTTTAATGTTGGCCTTCCAGACTTTTCCTCTGAACTGTGTAGAGCTAAGCATGAAATGTCTCCTTGGTGGGATTACATAACTCCATAGGCTATGCAAAACCTGTTACAGTAGGGACAGTTTAGTTTAGTGGTGACTCTTTTGAAGAGAAAGAAACAGAAAAACAAAGTATTGGCATTTTCAGTGGAGAATCCAGGCCTCTAGGCTGCAGCTCTAGACCTGGGCTGTGCAGTGTCAGTGTGCAGTCTACCACCAGCCACACAGCCTTCAAGCCTTCAGTTTCTGAAATGCAGCCCAGGGTGTGAGTGCATGGTGCTCCTATCATAAAGCTTCCTCTTAGCAACTGCTTAGTAGACAATTGGGACTGAGGGCTGGTCTGGTACCCGCATTGGTAGATCCTTGGGGTAGTGTCTGTGTGGCAAAAATACTTGGTGTACAGGTTTGTTCCACAGAGAGCTTTCCTCCTTGCCCTTATCAGCACAAACAGCATGAAACTGGAGTCCAACCCAGTTGGACTCCTGGCCTAGGAGAGTAAGAAGCTCCGTAAGACCTGAGGTGACTGGGTTGTCAATGTTCTTTAGTGCTTTGTTCTGGGCAAACTTCCCTTTCTTTACTAGACATCTCTTCTCTCCGCTGTCTTGTATGTATTTCCAAAAGGATGACTGGATCTGAAATTGCTGTTCAGGCTTCACCATCTTCAATGTACACGACATCCAAACACTTCCCAGAACTGATATATATATATATTATTACCCAAGGGTTGGAGCTGTCCTTTGACTATTTAGTGTTTTAATATGTAGGTGGTAGTTTTTTTCCACTTCAGAAATACTAATAGCCAGGCGGTGGTGGTACACGCCTTTAATCCCAGCACTCCAGAGGCACAGGCAGCACTCTTTGAGTTTGATGCCAGCCTGATGTACAGAAGCAGGTTCCAGGAGAGCCAAGGCTACACAGAGAAACCTTGTCTCAGGAGGAAAAAAGAAAAACAATAGTGATATGCTGTACTCACAATCTCTACCCTTTCTCATGTTCTTTATAGCACTGTTTCCTGGAATTAGATTGCTGCTCCCAGCTCTCTTCCCTAGACTGTCACTTGGTATCATCCTTAGAAAGCTTCACCTAGCACTGGGCAGAAATGAAGGGTTTGTCACAGACAGAGGACTACAGCTGGAGGCAAAACTAATTTGTGCTACTTTTCTTGGCCTAGAACAATCACCACGAGGAGAACATCTCTTCAAAGATGAAGGGTCTGAATGGGAAGGTGTCTGATCTGGAGAAAGCAGCAGCTCAGAGAAAAGCTAAGCTGGATGAGAACTCAGCCTTCCTTCAGTTCAACTGGAAGGCTGATGTGGTAGAATCCTGGATTGGTAAGTAGTTCGGCAAGACCCGAAGCTCATCTTCTTCTTTTTTTTTTTTTTTTTTAATTTTAGTTTATTTACTTTACATCCCAAGGGCTCCACCGTCCCTCCTCTCCTCTCCTCTCAGCGCCCCCATTTCCATCCTTCCCTTTCCCCTCTCCCTTTACCTCCAGAGAAAGGGAGTCTCCCCCCTCCCCCATATCAATCTTCCCCAAGTCAAGTCACATCAGGACTCAGCATATCCTCATCCTCTGAGTCCAGGCAAGGCAGTCCTGCCAGGGAGAATTGATCCAGAAGCAGACAGTAGAGTCCATGTTAGAAACACTCCCCCCAACTCCACTGGCCAGGCCCCCCATATAAAGACCAAGCCACCTAAAAGCTCTTAACTCTGGTAGGTTAAGAAGATGGCAGGGCCGCGGGGTTTGTTGCCACACAGTTGGATTTCTGCTGCAGAAGAGAAACTGATAGGACATGGCTCAGACAGTCTGTTGCAGGAGACCTAGCTGACAAACAGGAAGGACGTGCAGAAGTCAAAGCTGCCACAGCAGTGTCTACATTAAGTTGGCATGAGGCTTCACCAGACAAGGGCCTGCACATATAAGCAATACAGAGTCCCAAATACTACTAGGCTCAAGAAAGGGTCATGTGACATCAGAACTGCCCACTGGCTGCCCTGGCCATAGGGCCATCTAGCGCCTGGTTAAAAGGACCTAGATTCTTACATCAGAAGAGGTCATATAACCCAGAAAGCTCTCCTCAGCTGAGGCAGGGTGGTGGGTGCAGGAAGAAGCAGCTACTGTGAGGTCAAGAAAGCGCTGATAACTTTGGAGTTGATGTGTGAGCATGCCTCCGTTCTGTGGTTTGTTTTCTTAGTCCATCTGCTATTCTGTGAGGGGCTAGAACAGTTTCCATGCTTTGTTTTGCAGGTGAAAAGGAGAACAGCTTGAAAACGGATGACTATGGCAGAGATCTGTCTTCTGTCCAAACTCTGCTCACCAAGCAGGTCAGTTGGTCCTCTGAGTGGTGGGTTGAATTTACTCAGATAGCACTTTTAGGAGAAGACTGGACAGTGTTCTTCCTTTAAGTCTTTGAATGGCCAGGCACAGTGGCACATGCCTTTAATCCCAACACTCAGGAGGCAGTGGCAGGCAGATCTCTGTGAGTTCGAGACCATCAAACTCCAAAAGTGAGACCAGAGCTACACAGAAAAACCCTGTCTTGGGAGGAGGGAAGGAACAGTCTTGAAATGGTCTCCTGTGTTTATGGCCATGGTCAGTCAGCAATAAACACTTCAGTCCTGGGCCTTAGAGCTTCCAAAGGTGTAGAGTGAATGCAAAACGAGGCCCGCGTGCAGCAGCGTGATTGGCTAGCAAGGCTTATAGACACAAGGTACCTGTCATTCTTTGGCAGGCAAGGATCCGTAGGGCAGTCTCAGAAAGTAAATTGAAAGTGGCCACATATAAATGGTCTGCTAGAAGCCAAGGCCATACATGGCCTTGCCCAGAGCTTAAGTGCCAGAATGTAAGGGTTTATTTATGGCCAGGGACTTAAGGGCATTGCTATCTATGGTCTAAGGCAAGCAGGAGCATCAGCACATGTGACTAAATACCAGCAGGAGGTAGAACTCTTAGGTCAGCCACCAGGTGGGCTAAGGCACACTAGGCTTTCTGCAGTCCCTGCAACTGGCTTGTGGCTGCTCTTTGCAGGAGACCTTTGATGCTGGCCTACAGGCCTTCCAGCAGGAGGGCATTGCCAATATCACTGCTCTCAAAGACCAGCTGCTAGCCGCCAAGCACATTCAGTCTAAGGCCATCGAGGCCCGACATGCCTCTCTCATGAAGAGATGGACCCAGCTGTTGGCCAACTCAGCTACCCGGAAGAAGAAGTTGCTGGAGGCCCAGAGTCATTTCCGAAAGGTAAGGGTAAGATTCAACTGGCCCAGTGGAAGGGACAGTAGACCCATTTGCCTCTGCCATGCTGTGCAATCATCCTGTGAGGAAGGCGTGACCTCAGCCCAGAGATGAACCTGGCACTGGGGTCGATGGAACCTGAGACAGATGGAGCCCTTGAATTTGTCCTGGTGAATTTATCCTTTGCCCTCCGGGGACAAGCACAGCTTGTGCTCAGAACAGCGGGCAAGGGACAAGTGGGGATGATTTTGAGATGGGGCAGAGAGAGCCAGACCCCCACCAGGCCTCACTCTCTTAAAGTCCCAGAAACTGCCTCACCCACATGCATACCCACCACTCACACTTTGACCCTCTACTTCTAGGTAGAAGACCTCTTCCTTACCTTTGCCAAAAAGGCATCAGCCTTCAACAGCTGGTTTGAGAATGCAGAAGAGGACCTGACAGACCCAGTGCGCTGCAACTCTCTGGAAGAAATCAAAGCCCTCCGTGAGGCTCATGATGCCTTCCGCGCATCCCTCAGCTCTGCACAGGCCGATTTCAACCAGCTAGCCGAACTGGACCGACAGATCAAGAGTTTCCGGGTAGCCTCAAACCCCTATACCTGGTTCACGATGGAGGCCCTGGAAGAGACCTGGAGGAACCTACAGAAGATCATTAAGGTGCAACTGGCTGGGCGAGCCACTTAGCATGAGCTCCCTGCCTCCAGGCTGCTTCTTGTTGGGTCAGCTTCAGTAGGACTTCCTGCCCTCTCCACTTTCAAGTCCCACTGGCATTTCCCCAGGGTAGAGCCATGTTTATGATGAGCCCATCTGAGGCCAGATGTCAAGAACCAACAGAAGGTAGCAGCATCTGCCTCTCTTTTGTCATAGGAGCGGGAGCTGGAGCTGCAAAAGGAGCAGCGGCGGCAGGAAGAGAATGACAAGTTGCGCCAGGAGTTTGCCCAGCATGCCAACGCCTTCCACCAATGGATCCAGGAGACCAGGTGCCTGCTGTCTCTCTGGGGCTAGCCTAGGGAACATGCTGCTTCCTGCAGCTGGGTGTCAAACTTCCAGATCTGGGGCACAGGGAGCTTGTTTGAAACCTGAGCCCTAAGTCAGGTATAATTGGCATCTGTAATCCACTATGCAGAAGGTTGGTCCAGTCTGCTTTATATATTCTGAGCTATTTATATATTCTGAGCTAGCTTGTCTCCCCAAAAGAGATGGGGTGGTGGAGAGGCCTGTTTGGACTAAGGCTGGCGTGGTCTGATTAGGTTCCAGAACAAAAGTGGGCTCTGCATGGTTCATTTCCCCAAAGATGGGTTTTGCAACTGTCCAGAGTGTGGCAGAACTGCTCAAGGCGCAGTCAGACCTGGTCATGACTCAGCTGACACAGGGTCAGTAGCAGAAGCTTGCTGATGTCCTGTTCATTTTCTTCTTTCCTCTTCCTCATCCTGATTGCTGCTGTTTGTGAACTCCACCACCACTCCTGGATGCTTGGATCTCCACAGAACGTATCTCCTCGACGGGTTAATATTGCCTTCTTTCTCCGGGCTCATGGTGTGGTGGTGTCTTGTGTGCTTGTCCCTGTGTCCCTTGTCCCCCAGTGGCCTGGCTTGCAAAGGATCCCAGGATGGCCCTCCTGCCCACCTTGTCCATGCCCATTGTCCCTGCTAGAAGAATCCATGGTCTTTAGGGGAGTCATTTTCCCTCTTTCAAGGTAGAAAATGTAACCGTGGGAGGAAGCCAGAGTCTACAGCCTGAGAACCCTGTCCATGCCTGTTCACTAGGACTGGATTGGAAAGCCACAGTGGTCAGGGAGCATGGGAAGCTAGGTGGCTCTGCTAGGAGTATACACTGAGTACAGTGTCTAGTTGAGGGAAGCTCTGCAGCCCACAGAGGGCCAAAGTGGCCCTATCCTCCCTCTGGGGAGGGTAACCAGAATTGCTTACCCTAGCAAAAGACAAAATGTCCAGTGTTAGCAGTATTATAGAGACAGGGCTTGGAGGAGCCCCCGGAAGGAGCAGGGCTGTCTCCCAGTCCCAGCAGGAGCCTCCACCAGGCCATCCCCTGTCCATTCTTGCCAGGCCAACCCAGGCTAAGCGCATGAGGTTCTGCAGGAGGGGAAAGTCGGGCATGTAAGGGATAGTGACCACAGAAATCTGCCCAAACCAGTCAAGCTGTAGAAGCTTTGCAGGCGGGAAGGATTCATCTGGCCTGAACACCACAGGCTTCCCCACCCTACGCTGTCTGCTGCTCTTGGTCTTGTTTCTGTGCAATGCCATGCTTCCTCACCTGTGGCTCCTCCCAAGCCTTGTCCCACCTGGCCCAACACCCCTTGAGCTACCCATGGTTCCCAACCAGTGCCAGGCTGCCAGCTGTGGCACGTGTCTGTTTCGATATGCTCTTGCCTCGCTTCCCTTTGGTGTATTCATTTGGTTTCTTTTCTTTGACTAGCATAGCATATCGTCGGGTCATTCGTGTCTATCAGTATGAAGTTGGGGATGATCTGTCTGGAAGGTTCTTCTCCTCTTATTTCTCTTCTTCCCTCACTGTGGTTTTACCAATGCACTCTGGACTCCCAGGCGGCTCTGCTTTCTAACCCACACCCTAGCCACTTGGGAGGAGGGTCTGTCTCCCTCTGCTGCACTGGCCCTGCCTCCTGCCCCAGTCCCTGGGGCTCCCTTTTCCTGGGGGATGGGGCGTGCCTGTGAGTCTCAACTGCTGGGGTAGGAGGAAGTGTGGTGCCTTGCCTTGCTAAAGCACTTTGAACTTGGGGAGATTTTATAGAGTTCTTCCGGGCTTGCTGAAGTCACTGTACGTTTGGGTAAAACATGGGTGCAGAGGAGAGCGGGCTGTGTGCACTGTGTGAACTTGTCCCTGCACGTGACCCGTGACCCTGCTCGTTTGATGTTGTTGTTCACTGGGAACCTTCTTTGTCCTCACACTTATATCTTAGAGAGAAGCAGGCTTCCCCCAAGGCCACATGGCTCCTCAGAAAATGGCCTTCAAAAGGAAGCCTAGCCTGGCTGTGTCTAGATACTGGAACCCAAACCCAGAGTTCTATCACACCTATCCTAGCTGGAACCAGTTTCCGGCACACCCATTTAGCTATCCTATTGGCCATGCTGTCTCTTAGAATATGGCTTTTCCCCTTAGTAGCCTAAAGGGAAACAAAGTGGGATTAAAGGGACTGGCAGTCTCTTGCCTGTCCTTCCAGCCCCAAGGGTGCCTATCTGTTGGGTTCTTGGCCTTCTGTGGCTGCCAAAAAGGGGCTTGTCAGGCCTGAAGCTGCTTTGTTCCTATGGGGAAAAGATTCAGTTCCTGAGTGACCTTTTAAGAGCTGAGAGGCCCTGGCTTATGTGTCTCTGAAACTAGTGGGACCTGCTCTTTCCTGAGCCTGTTAGGAGAGGTGGCCAACACTAGATATGCTGTTTCCTCAGTGAAAAGAATCGCAGGCTGTGGGCACTTTTCAACAGAAGAAGAATTAAATGTGGGTGATAGTCTGCTGAAATGGCACCCCGCTCACTGTGCTTCTCTTGTGTTTAGGTCCTGCATGGTAGAAGAGTCAGGGACTCTGGAATCTCAGCTTGAAGCTACCAAAGTGAGTTTCCCAAAGGACTTTGGCCACCCCAGAGGCTCCCAGCACAGCAGCCACTCAGCCTAAAGCTGGCTGGGCCCTTTTCCCTTCCCTTAAGTCTGCTGGCTGCTGCACTGAACCCCACTTGAAGAGGCTGAGGCCCTCTGGCACATACTGCATCCTTATTTCCTGGCACTGCTGCCAGCTACTTCATGAAGGTTTTTCCCTACCTATCCCTACCTGTTCCCACTCTTCCTTTCCTTGGCTCTTTTGCCCCTGAATGATCTCAGCTGGATTCTGAAGCCAGCCTAGGCTCCTGAGCTGAAACTACAGAGTCCGTCTCACGCTGCCTTGTCCCGTCTGACAGCGCAAGCACCAAGAGATTCGAGCCATGAGAAGTCAGCTGAAGAAGATTGAGGACCTGGGGGCTGCCATGGAGGAGGCCCTTATTCTGGACAACAAGTACACTGAGCACAGCACTGTGGGCCTGGCCCAGCAGTGGGACCAGCTGGATCAGCTGGGCATGCGCATGCAGCACAACCTGGAGCAGCAGATCCAGGCCAGGTACCAGGGGATGCAGCTATTAACAAAGGACTGGCACAGGAGGGAAGAACATGCCACTAGTGCATGGGGCACCTGCTCCCTACTCTTCTTGTTATTCTAGGAACACAACTGGAGTGACCGAGGAGGCGCTCAAGGAATTCAGCATGATGTTCAAGTGAGTATGGCCCAGAGACCCTGGCTGAAGGTAGCTAGGTGACAGGGACTGTGTGCTGAGGCCCTGGCCTCTTGTGCTGCAGACACTTTGACAAGGACAAGTCTGGCCGGCTGAACCATCAGGAGTTCAAATCCTGTCTTCGCTCCCTGGGCTACGACCTGCCAATGGTAGAGGAAGGAGAGCCTGATCCTGAGTTTGAAGCAATCCTGGACACCGTTGATCCCAACAGGTAATCTGAAGGGGCAATGATGAACAGTCTTAGCCTCCCTCTCTCCTCCTTGCTCACTGTCCCTGCGTCCCATAGGGATGGCCATGTCTCCCTGCAAGAATACATGGCTTTCATGATCAGCCGTGAAACGGAGAACGTCAAGTCCAGTGAAGAGATCGAGAGCGCTTTCCGAGCCCTCAGCTCTGAGGGCAAGCCTTATGTGACCAAGGAGGAGCTCTACCAGGTAGGATCTGGGGAGGGCAAGATTTTCTGGGCACAACGAATGCTGAAGGGTGTACCACATATACATACACTCAGAAGCCTGTGTGCGCTGGCAGACCTGGCCTGGCCCCAGCTCCTTACCCACGGGCACTTGAGGTCAACATTGGCTGATCCCACTACCATTTCTTCTCCAGAACCTGACCCGGGAACAAGCTGACTATTGTGTCTCCCACATGAAGCCCTACGTGGATGGCAAGGGTCGTGAACTCCCCACTGCCTTTGACTACGTGGAGTTCACCCGCTCACTCTTTGTGAATTGATCTGAGGCTCGTAGGTGAGCCTGACCTGCGCTGCTTGCCCTGCTATCTCTCACCTGCATGTCATTACTCTGCTGTCAGGCAGAATATTCCAGACAGTGTTAACTTTCCATAAGCCTGCTTAGCTTGGGGTAAGACTTAGTAGAAAATGGTGCTTCAGTAACCCGCTTCCAGTCCAGTCACAATCACTATGTTGCTATGGGACCCAGACCCATGTTTGAGCCAGCTGCCCTCATTCCCACTTAAAGTCAAGGCAGCAGGCTCACCTCCCTAGTTCTCTCCCCAGATTCTGTTTTCATGTAAAAGACAAATAAAGGACTCAACTCTCCCCCTAAAGGCTTTGTTACTCTTTATTCAGCTTAACACACACCCTGGAAGGGACACCACCCTGCTGCTCCTTGTGGCCCTCAGGTAGCTACTTCCACTTCCAGTTGGTCCAAGTCTTCGGCCTCCCGAGGCCCCTGTTCTGTGAAGGCTGTGCTCAGCTGCCACACTTTCACTGTGCCCTTGGCATCACCAGCAGCTAAGAGCTGGGTCTGCTGGTTGTTAAACTCAAGACAGTAGACAGGACTTCCATCCTGGGTTTGTGTTATGGAAACTGTGGGTTTCTGTGAGCTTTTCTGAAGGTCAAACAGTTGTACATCACCTGCAGGGAGAAACCATGGCTGAAAGGCTGTGAAATGTCACCTTTCCTATGCACCTTGTAGTGGGTACGCGCAGGCAGAGTACTGTATACATAATAAATAAATAAACCTTTAAAGAGAGAGAGAGAGAGAAAATAAACTCTAAAAAACAAAGGCTGTGTGGCTCTTGCCTACCTTCCCCAGAAGCAGCAGCAAAAACCAGGGGGCGCACAGGGGACCAGCGCACAGCAAACAGGTACTTGTGAGAGAGCTGCAGTGAGGTCAGGGGCTGAGCCTGCAGCATGGAGTACAGGTGGACATGGCCATCGGTTCCAGCACTCAGGAAGAGATTCCTAGACGGTGCGGAAAGGAAGGCCTCCTGGGCTGTCTGCCCATGGAAAGCTCCCTTGGCCTTCAAATCTGGGTTGAGTCCTTAAAAACGGGACCAGCCCTGGGACCAACCACCAGATTACAAAGAATCGAGATGCTGGTGTTTAAAAGCTTGAGACAGGATGGCCTTCCCTGTGCCCGAGTGGTAAGCCCAGGCTGGCGCCCCTACCTGTGGAAAGGGGAACAGCTCACAGAATACACAGGGCCACCATGGGGAGAGAAGGTGAACTGCACCGGGGCCTTAAGAGGCACAGAGCTGGGCATCCGAGTGAGGGCAGCTGCCTCCGCTGCCAGGGAACACTTGAGGGGGAAGCCACCTTCTGTGCCCAGAATGAAAAGGCTGGAGTCGAAGCTGGAGAAAGCCACTGATGTCACCCCCACCTCAGTCTCTCCACGGGGTGGCTGTGGAAAAGCAGCGATGATGACAAGCCCCGGCAGCCAGTGGGGCAAGGGAAGAACACAGGTGGGTTCCCACAGCCCAGCTGTCTCGGGCCTGTGCTGTGCCTTAGGCCTTACCTTCTTCAGCTTGGTGCTCCGAGGCAGCTGCTGCACAGCCAGGGCAAAGCCCTTGGAGAGCTGCAGCTGGCCAGCACCGCTGCCCCTCCACAGCAACACCCTTCCATCTGTGGCCACACTCAGGACCTGGAAGCGGTGGCTGTGCCGGGGTTCAGGCAGCCATAGCACCTGAGAAGACCAAGCAGGAAGCAGGATGGAGAGAGGAGCATCCCAGTATCAGCCTCACCCCTTCCCCAGCTGCCCCTTGTGGGTGTAAAGAATTCTGGAGGAAACGTCAGAGCCTGGGGTAGCCAGGTTCCCCCAGGCCACTCTGCTAGCATCCCGGAAGGCAGGCTCAGGCCACCTCTGTGGGAGGCTGGAGAAGAGCTCCGCCCTAGAGGGCAACTTGTGGGAAAACTGATTCAAACTGGAGCTCCAAGAATCCCAACTCCCTGATGACCAACTCTGGGGCACCTGATGCCATCCCATCCCCCACCCTCACACACATGTGCGAGCACACGCGCACTGACCAAGGGTGTAGTAAGTGGCTTCCTGTGCCCACCCATCCCCCTCATGCTTCCATCCATCCCCCTCCTGACCTGATACACAGGGTCTGTGTGGGTGTCATCAGTCAGACCTGTGCGCCAAAGCAGCGGGTCCTCAGGCCGGCTCATGTCCCACACCAGCACTTCACCGCTGTACAGCCCCCCTGTGAGGATAATTTGCATCTGGCATCAGCGTAGCCATGCCCAGTAGCCCTCCACCGCAGGGAGCCAGGAAAAAAGGCCTCTCTGAGCATTTCCTGAGAGGGAAAATCCTAATCTCTGGACCTCAGACAGTCCTTGCTGTTCCAGGGACCTTTCCCCACAGAAAGCTGGGGGCCCGTGCCCAGCACTACTCCCAACAGCGACGCTGCTGTCCGCACTGTCAGCCCACCTCCAGCCCGCTCTCCTCATCCTGCCTCCTGGACAAGCCAGATTCAGACCCTTCCAAATGACTCCTCCAGGTTCCATACCCCTCACAGGGCCACACAGGTAGATTATTCCCCCCTCTACAGACAACCCAGGGGTCCAGGGCAACCTCACCATCTTCCCAAGTGGCCTGCTCTGGTCAGAAGCTGACAGGCCAGCAAAAGGCTTCCTGGCTGCCTGTAGCTGGCAGGGAAGAGGAGGCTGGGGAGGATGAGGCACTCACCTGCAATGTGTGAGGGCTGTGTGGGATGAAAGGCCAGGCACATGACAGCACTGGGCACCTCCACCACTACTGACGGCTGCTGGGGGTTCAGGCCTTGGCGGTCCAGGTTCCAGGTGCACACATAGGATTTGAGTGTACTCCAGTCCCCATCGTCTAGACTGCGTGGAGACATGCCTGACGGACCACCGGGGCTCCCAACACCTCCTCCATCTCAGCCCCACTAACACCCTCCAAAATTAGCAGTACACAGACTGTGTACTGTGGGTATATGTCATAGGTTCCTCTGTGGCACTCAAAAGGGCACCAAGTTCTCTAGAAAAGAGTCCCTAAGCCAGGCATGATGTCACTGCAGATGGCCTGTCTACACACCCTAGGGGTCCAGAAAATGCTAGTCGCATGCAGGGCCTGCCCTTGACCTAGGGGATAGCTCAGTCTGTGCAGAGGACACCAGTGAGTCCAGCACTTGAACGATGCCATCCTGAGAGACGTAGTGAGACCCCTATGGTAGGGAAAAGGGTCTCAGCCTCCAGCGTGTGTCCAAGCACTGGTGGATGACTACCGAGCACCTAGCAGCAGAAGCCAGAAGAGTGGCTGGTGACCAAGGCAAGCCCACTCACTGCCAGGTAGGGAGATGGCCCTGGAGGCTCAGGCTCTCAGCCCCTCCCTCTGCACCTTGCCTAGTGAAACAGAAGCCCAAACAAGTCTTCAGATCTCTGTTTCTCCCCACCCACCCCAGCTGACACTCACCGACCATAGGCACAGGCCAGCACAGAGCCTGTGGCGTTCCAGGAGATGCCAGTCACATGCAGACCCTGCCCTTGGGCCAGGGGGTAGACCAGGGTATGCAGACAGGACACCTGCAGAGACAGGCCATTCCTAGCCCTAAGCACAAATCCATCCCAGTAAGTGGTTCTCAGCCTGTGGGTCACAACAACCCTTTCACAGGGGGCACCTACAACCATTGGAAAGCACAAATATTTACATTTACGAATCTTGACAGTAGCAAAATTACAGTTATGAAGCAGCAACAGAAATAATTTTATGGTTGGGGTGACAACATGAGGAACTGTATTAAAGGGTCGCAGCATAGGCAGGCTGAGAACCACCGCTCTAGTGGGTAACCTCACGGCTGTGTAGGAAAATCACATCCCGGCCCAGGCTGCCCAAGGCCTAAAAGCTGTCCACATCCACTGGTCAGACAAGAGGAAAATGTAGACTACTCTGGGCATGGGGCTTATCCCTCTAATCCCAGTGCTTGAGAGGCTGAGGCAGAAGGGTCACCATGAGTTCAATTTTTTTTTTTTTTTTAGTCATTTATTATGTATACAGTATTCTGTCTGCATGCATATCTGCAAGCCAGAAGAAAGCACCATATCCCATTATAGATGGCCGTGAGCCACCATGTGGTTGCTGGGAACCGAACCCAGGACCCCTGGAAGAGCAGCCAGCGCTCTCAACCTCTGAGCCATCTCTCCAGCCCCTCACCATGAGTTCTAAGCCAGCCGGAGCTGTACAGTGAGTGCCAGGCTGGCCAAGGCTGCGTAGTAAGACCATGTCTCAACACCTCCCCCACAGACAGAAAACACACAGCCTTCATCTATCTGCCTTGCAGACACTTCCAGAACCTTGGAAGGCGGCCTGAGAAGCACAGCCAATGCAGGCTCCAAGCCAGAGTCTCAGGGCTCAACAGTACAGGGGGCAAAGCTGGAAGGTGGTAATGGCTGCACGAGGAATGATTGACCTCCTCTGGCCTACACACCTAAAAAAGCTACGTTCCAATTTTATTATGGCTTAATACACACCAGGAGGGGAGAAAAGCTTTTCAGTGTCTCAGTACATAGCCCAGGCTAGCCTCAAACTCGTGGCAATCCTGCCTCAGCATCATGGTGTGGCCCAACATGTCTGGCTCTACTCCCTGTTCCCCAAAATCAAGGCTCTGGAGTCTTTTTCTCAGCAGGTGAGAGCAGCAAAGGAGATAGCCACAGTCCCAAAGAATGTCAGGGGAAGGGACACAGCAGCAGAGAGTCAGAACTCCGGGGCAAAATGTCTCACCTCCTAACTTCATGACTGGCCCAAGGCAGGAGCCTAGCCCTGCAAACCCCAAAGAGCACATAGCAGCAGTCCTACTCAGAGAGACAGAGACCCAAGGAGCACAGGCCCACCAGTATGTGGTGCATGCCTGCAATCCCAGCACTGAAGAGGCTGAGGCAGCGGGAGCACCATTTGTGACTTTGAGGTCAGCCTGGCTATAGAAGCAGGTGAAACTCTGATTGCAAAGCCAGCCTAGTCTGCATAGTGAGTTCCAAAACAGTCAGCACTACATACTGAGATCTTGGTTTTTTGTTTGTTTGTTAAGATTTATTAATATATTATTTATAATATATATGTATCTATTTATATATTATCTATAATATATAAATGTACTTATTTATATATTATTTATACAGTAGTCTGTCTGCATGTACACCTGCAGGCCAGAAGAGGGCACCAGATCTCATTATAGATGGTTGTGAGCCACCATGTGGCTGCTGGGAATTGAACTCAGGACCTTTGGAAGAACAGCCGGTGCTCTTAACCTCTGAACCATCTCTCCAGCCTGTTTTTTTTTTTTTTTTAAGGCATTCTGCTTTAGGGCAATTCACTGCATTCTGTCATTGGAACATTCACCTTGCTAAATAAACTTCTGCTTAAACTGTCAACATAAATAAATAAATAAACCAAAACATGAAGAGTGAAATGACAGTAAAGCAAAGCATAGGCCCCAGAGGCCGGGACAGCGTGCCAGGGAAGCCTTCCTCAAGGGCTAAGGACACAAGCCAGGGAGTGCAGCCTGGAGGAGCCTGGTGTGGTCCGCACCTACCCAAGTGAGTCACTGCACGAATGCCTTCAAGAAAGCGCAGGGGCAGAGGCAGGGCAGGGGACCCCTAAGGAGGGCATGGGTCTATCACATGCAAGTCCTTGACCTGGGATCTGCTTCGCTGAACTCGATTACTGGGGGAAGAAGATCATGCATGCCTTGTCACCTGGGCATAAAGTTTACACTAAGAAGCACAGGCCTTTAATCCCAGCACTTGGGAGGCAGATGCAGGCAAACCGCTGAGATCAAGGCCAGCCTGGTCTATAAAGTGAGGCCAAGACAGCCAAAGCCACAGAAGAGAAACCAAAAGGGGCTGGAGAGATGGCTGAGAGGTTAAGAGCACTGTTCTTCCAAAGGTCCTGAGTTCAGCCCCCAGCAACCACATGGTGGCTCACAACCATCTATAATGAGATCTGGCGCCCTCTTCTGGCCTGCAGCACACATGCAGGCAGAACAGACAGGTAAGAAGCAAACCATAAAACTGGGCAGTGGTGGTGCACATCTTTTATCCCAGCACTTGGGAGGCAGAGGCAGGCCGATCTCTGAGAGCAAGGCCAGCCTGGTCTACAGAGTGAGTTCCAGGACAACTAGAGCTATACAGAGAAGAATTATCTCAGAAAACAAGCCTGTGCTCTGTAGCAAGAAACAAAACAAGAACAGTAAATGCTTCTTTGTCATCTTGTGGACCTTTTAAAAATGGCTGGGGCTTTCTCTGATACAGGGTCTCCAGCCTCCTCATTCTGGGACAACAAATGTGTACCACCATGCCGGGCACACAAATGTGTACCACCCAAACTGTTCTTGATTTCTAACTCCTGGGTTCAGGCATCAGCACTCAGTAAATGGGTGTGATGTTGTATGCCAACCACCTCAGCACTTGGGGGAGGCAGCAAGGTCATCTTCAACCAGACTTGTCTCAAAAAGATGGACAGATGATAGATAGACAGACAGACAGACAGACAGATGATGGATAGATGATAGATAGATAGATAGATAGATAGATAGATAGATAGATAGATGATGGATGAAAAAAGATAGATAGATAGATAGATAGATAGATGATAGATAAATAGAAGATAGATAGATAGATAGATAGATAGATAGATAGATAGATAGATAGATGATAGATAATGATTGATAGGCAGATAGACAGACAGGCAGATATAGAGATAAGTCGGTAGGTATGAATGTAGGGCTGGAGCAGGGCTCAGTGGCAGACATGCGCATGCCATGGCTTCAATGTGCAGCACTAAATTAAATTATCTCACTGCCAATACACCTGGAGAGGTGGAAGTGAGCTGCGGTGCACTGTGAAACAAGGAAACCCCCGTTTGCCACATTTGACACATTGCTGTCAATCCAGCAGTACATCCAGGCCTAGAAGTGGAAAAGGCAAGGCTCGCTGGTGCCTTTAGCACAGTCCAGGGTTCAGGTTCCAGCTCAGATAACTCAAGAGCTGTGCAGCCCTGGGCAAGGCACTCTGTCTCCCCAGGCCTCATCTATAAAGTAGAGATAACAGTGCTCCAGTTGCCCTGAGGAAACAGACCACAGCAGGTCATACCAAGGATGGTGCCAGGCTAGTGGCAGGCTGCCCTGGCACAAACCCCACGCCTCTGCAGCCACTCACTTCCCAGGGTGAGCCGGCCCCACACCCTCTGCCCCCGGTACACCTGCTGGTACAGTATACAGCATATGTTCCTGGGTGGAGCAAAGCAAAGCCCGAAAGAGGCCGTGCGGCCTCAAGGAGGGGCATCACCCCAAGCTATCAGCAGGGGCCTTACCGTCTGCTGCGGCTCAGTCCAGTTCACCTCATAGCCATCAAAGGCATGGCTCTGCCAGTTGTTGTTCAGCTCCCGGATCATAGTGGCCTCCACCCTCCGAAGAAAGGCTGCAAGCCTGGGGGTGTCATGCTGGGAAACAGGTGCCACAGCTGCTGGCTCCTCAGGAGCCTCCGTCTGCACCTGCGCATCTGCATGTGTCCGGGCCTGGGCAGATGCCTCTCCTGTGGCAATGCCAGCTGTCTGGCAACTTTTCTGGAAGGAGATTAAAACCAGAGTCATGGGCCAATGAAATGGCTCAGTGAATAAAGGTGCTTGCCATCAAGTCCAATGACATGGGTTCAATTCCCAGAACACACATGGTAGAGAGAACTGACTCCTGAATGCTGTCTTCACACCTGCACGCATGTCTGTGCAAGCACACATAAATTATTATTCTTTAAAGATATATTTATTTGTTATTTTTACAGTGTTCTGCCAGCATGTGTACCTGCAGACCAGAAGAGGGCACCAGATCTCATTATAGACAGCCACCATATGGTGGCTGGGAATTGAACTCAGGACCTTTGGAAGAGCAGCCAGTGCTCTTAACCTCTGAGCCTTCTCCCCAGCCCCATACAAATTATTTATTAAAAAAAAAAAAAAAAAAAAAAAACGGTGGGGAGGGGGTTGTGTCCTGAGGATGGCTTAGTGGTTAAGAGCTCATACTGCATGCTAGGTGTGCTGGTGCACACCTTTATTCCCAGCACTTGGGAGGCAGAGGCAGGCTGAGCTCTGTGAGTGTGAGGCCAGCCTGGTCTACTGTCCTAGCTGGCTCTCTATAACCGTGATAAAATACTAGCCAAAACCAACTTGGGGAGAAAGGATTTGGCTTACAGTTAGATTCCATCATAACAGAAGTCAGGCAGGAACTCAAGGCAGGAACCTGGAGACAGGAACTGAAGCAGAGACCACAAAAAAAGCTGCTTACTGGCTTGCTCTCCAGGGCTTGTTCAGCTAGCTAACTAGCTTTCTTCCACAGCCCAGGGTCACCCACGGTAGCAGCACCACCCATGGTGGGCTGGGCCCACCCACAACAATCTGTAATCAAAACAAAATGCCCCACAAACATACCTACAGGTCAAGGTGCATAGGCATTTTTAAAATGGATGTTCCCTTTCTGCAGATGACCCTCGCCTGTGTCAAGTTCACAGAACAAACCAACCAACAGTAGATAAAAAAGAAACTAAATAAAAAATACCTAGCCAGAATAGGTGCCTTTCTTTTAGAAAGGTTTCCATAACAAGCCAGTGGAAAGAAAGGCAGCCACAGCTCTTACAGCCTTCACCTCCACACTACCACCGCAGAGACTGTCCCTACTTCAACAGACATGAGGAGAAACATCAGCTCAGAGGAGCCACCACCTCTGTGATCATCTTGTCTTTGCCAAAAGAGGCTCTTGGGAATGAGGCCCAGCCCACTGCCACCCAGCAGGGTCTGCACAGGAAGCCTCTCTGGGACCAGAAGACCCTGGAACCTGGTGCAGTGCCATCCCCAGCCACAAGGGACATAGACAGCAGCTGTCCCTGGCAGCCAGCTGTCTGCATAATCAACTTCATACTTGTTCAAAACTCCCGGGTGGCAAATCCAGTATCCTTCCAGTATAGGGGCCAGCTTACCATTTCTGCTTGCCCAGTACTTCACAGTGCTTCACATGGTGTTTGGGTAGCAGACACACACACACACACACACATGCAGGATACTTAGTGCCAGGGCCATAAATGGAGACTCCAATACAAAGGTGCTTGGTTCTGGCAGAGGGCCTGAGGGGTCAGCTCAACAGCCAGCCACAAGAGACACAGAGAAGGCCTTATCAGTCCTTCAGGCTGACGTATGAGAGAAATCAGGAGCTGCCAGTTGTACAGTGAGCGAAAGGGACACCGCAAAGCCGCAGGGAGTGGCCAGATGGAGCCAAACATCCCTGGTAGCAACACCCGTGGTCTTGGAAGGCCCCTGGCTTCCACACATGTGCATATGAGCAGCAGGCACACACATAGCCACAAAATATGGTGGTGGTGGATTCCAGTTTGTGCCTCTCTCAGAACCAGCTGTGTGTTCCATGTGCAGGTCTTGAGAGATGCCACAGGAACCTGCCATGAACTGTTTTGGGTTGGTGTCTGCTACTTACTGCAAGGTTGAGCCAACCCAGGGCTGGGATGGCAGATTGTGTGGGTAGTCAGTTTTAAAGTAATGGTTCTTGGGCTGGAGAGACAGCTCTGTGGTTAAGAGCACTGTCTGCTCTTTCAAAGGACCTGGGTTCAATTCCTAGCACCCACGTAGCAGCTTACAACTGTCTGTAACTCCAGTTCCACGGATTCTGACATCTTTTATACCAATGCACAGAGAATAAAATTAAATAAACTATGTTTTTAAAGCAATGGTTCTAGCCTGTGGGTCCAGACCCCTTTACGTGCGTGCGTGTAAGTGCATGTGTGTGTATATACTAGATATCCTGCATATCAGATATTTACATTACAATCCACAACAGTAGCAAAATTAGAGTTATGAAGTAGCAACAAAAACAATTACATGGTTGGGAATCACCACAACATGAGGAACTGTATTAAGAGCTGCAACATTAGGAAGGTTGATTTCTGGCTGGCTGATCAGTCTTGGAACTTGGCAGGACAGGGGAAGTACCCTGATGGTTCAGAGGAGCAGTCGCCCACCTAGCCTGGCCAGCAGCCCAGGGCAAGCTGGCCACACACACCTCCAATAGCCTGATCACAGGCAAGTCAAGCATCGCTAGACCAGAGTGAGGCAAAGAAGCCAATGCCTAAACACAGGTGGACAAAGCCAAAGTCTCTCGATAGTGTGGTCAGCCTAGTGTGATTTATTTTCCAAGACAGGGTTTCTCTGTGTAGCTCTGGCTGTCCTGGACTCACTTTTGTAGATATATATATATATATATATATATATATATATATATATATATATATAATTAAAATAATAATAAAGCATATATGGGGGCTGGAGAGGTGGCTCAGCGGTTAAGAGCACTGACTGCTCTGCCAGAAAACCAGGGTTCAATTCCCAGCATGCACATGGTGACTCACAACTGTCTGTAACTCCAGTTCCATGGAACTGGACATCTTCACACAGACATATGTGCAGGCCAAACAGCAATGCACATAAAACAAAATTAATTAAAATAATGCATATATGTGTGTTTCTGTGTATGTGTGTTTACCTTTCTTTGTTTATTTTATGTCTGTTTGGGGTTTGTTTTGTCTTGAGACAAGGGTTTCTGTGTGGAGCACTGGCTGTACTGGACTCAACTGTAGACCAGCTGCCGCTGCCTCCCAAGTGCTGGAATTACAGGTGGGTGCCACCACCGCCTGGCATATTTACCTGTGTTTGTGGTCCTGGGGTGGCCCCAGCCCCTTCACCCTCTTTTCTAATCGGACCTACTCATCTGGTCCTGACAATGTGCAAGAAGAGCCTGCCAAAGACCCTCTTGGCTTCTCCATGGCCCCAACTTTCCTCTACCCCCACAAACCACATTCATGGCTGTTGCCCTCCAAGGCCTGTGTGAACACTGTGCCCTGTGGAGCAGCCTAGCAGAAGCTCCCTATTTGATCCAGGGTTAAGGACACATAAGATCTAAGAGCACTGAGCAGTTCTGAACCACCACAGGGCCGGCTCCCCTCCCATGTGCTGAATGCACGCGTGCTGCTTCCCCCGCTTCCTGGTCTCAAGTACCCCGGGATGAGCTCAAGCCAGCCCTGTCACTAAAGAAGACTTTGAATTTCTGATCCTCCTGTTTCTAACTGGGACTGTAGGTATGTGCCCCACACCGGGGTTGACTCACTGCGGGGAACTGCCTGGCCAGCTTCCTGCTCACTAGACAAGGGGCTACCAAGTGAGCCACACTCCTAGCTGAAACTTGGCTCTGAGTGCTTCTGCAGCAAATGCATGCTCAAAAGGCTGGGATCCGAGGGTGAGGCCAGGCTGGGGACAGCTCTGCAGTGACTGCTACTACATTCCTGGTTAGTCTGTTTCTCTGCACACTGCCTTAAAGACAGTCCAGACACAGGTTCACACACCTGTAACCCCAGCACTCAGAAGGTAGAGGCAGGAGGATTGTCATGAGTTTGAGGCCAGCTTGAGCAACAATCTCTTAAAGGGGAGAGGGGCCCCAGTCATGTAGCATGCCTGGCATCCGGACATCCTATCCTGGCTGTAGTGGCAGGAGGATGACTCACAGATTACTTAAAGGGCACACGTTCCAGCAGGGGGTGCCATGTGCCTCAAAATACACAGGCAAAGCCCCAGCCTGTCGGGGGAGAAAGGGACTCAGAAGTTCATTCAGCTGCGCAGACAGGAGGCCTACCCCACAATCCATGGGACAGAAAGACAGAAATTGCTCAGCTCATACTTCCTGGGCGCCTCCAGGAGGTGGAAAAGCACACAGGGCTCTTTCCTCTCCTCCTCTCTCCCTCCTTCTTTCTTTCCTTCCTCCTTCTCTCAAGAAGCTCAGTGTCCTAGGAGGGAAAAGTCCTAGAGCAGCTTATGTACCTGAATGAAACTTAAAGCCACCCAGTTGCACACTTTAAAAGATTAGGACGGGAAGCAGGCAATGGTGATGCCTGCTTTTAACCCCAGAGCTGTAGAGGTAGAGGCAGAAGGATCTCTGAGTTCCAGGCCTGTCTCAAAAATTCAAAACAAACAAACAAAAAGAGCAGGGTGGGGGCAGCAAAACAGCTGTCCAGGTAAAGGCGCTCACTGAGCCTGACCACCTGGCCCTACTCAGTGGGAGCAGAGAGCTGACTCAACATCGTCCTTTGACCTTCATATGTGCATTGCGGGGTTCACACTAGTGGCCCACCCCCAGCACACAAACACAATGTAATAACCTGAAAAATAAAAGCATAAAATAAGAATAAAAGATCATAATGGAGGCAGGAGGATCACTTGAACCGAAGAGTTTGGAACAGCCTGGGCAAGACATCAAGATCCAGTCTCAAAAGCATGTGTGATGTTCGGTCTTTAAAGATTTATTTTACGTATACATGCGCTTTGCTTGCATGAATGGAGGCTGGGCACCAGAGGAAGACAATGGTTGTCTTGGAATTAGAGTTCAAGGTCCTCCTCAGGAGAAACAAGTGCTTCCTAACCACTGCGCCAGAAGCTAACCAGCCCATTTGTTATGTGTATATTTTACCACTATTCTTCTTTCGAAGACTTTTTGAGACAGGGTTCAGTACTTCAAGAAAATCTAGAACTTATTAGGTAGCCAAGGCTGGCCTTGAACACCTGACCCCACCCCTCAGTGCACCAGTTACCAGACTTGGCTGGCCACCCACCTTCTGCTTTTGACAGGTGGGCTAAGTGAGCAGCTATTAAGTCTAGCTCAACATCACAGTCCATAAAACCCCATTCCCAGTCCGTACGACACATCTGCTGTCCAGGGTCAAGGGAGGCTGCAGGCAGTGTGCACACGTGTTAAACTCTCCAAGGCGCTCCAAGGCTCCAACAACTGCATGGGTACCCGCCCTCCAAATCATCCCTCCCCCCAGCGGCACCAACCTTTCATATCAGCAATGGCAGCTTCTACAAGGACACAAACACAGCCCACTAGGAAACAATCACAAGGCCCAGTGCCTAGTAAGACTCTACATTCCCAACCGCAATCTCAAACTCAACACCCAGAAACCCTTCCTTTTATGAACAAGTTAGCCTATGTTGAGGGGAAAAAAGCCAGCCATGGTGACACAGACCTTTACTACCAGAAGGTGATTTCTGTGAGTTCAAGGCCATCCTGGTCTATAAAGCCAGTCCAGGACAGCCAACGCTACACAGAAAAAAGAAAAACCCACATCCTGAGTTCTGCAAGACTTTACTTGACCTGTCTGTTTGCTCTCTTTGCTTTTTGATTAAACTAGAAAACCATAGCAGGGCAGAGGTGGCACACTTTAATCCCAGGCAGAGGCAAGTGGATCTCCAAGGTCATGGCCAGCTTCGTCTGCAGAGCAAGTTCCTAGACAGCCAGGGCTACACAGAGAAATCCTACCTCAAAAAACAAAACAAAACAAAACAAAAAAAAAGAACCTAGAAAGCCGTTTGAGCTTCAGTGTGACCCTTCCAAAAACCAATGTCAGTTTAAAAAACTATCATTCACGAAATATCCTTCCAAAAGCGGTGCCAGAGTGGCGAAGTGGCTCCGCTGGTAAAGGCACTTGGCCAAGCTTGACAACATGAGTTGGATTCCCAGGATCCACGTGGTGAAAGGAAATAACTAAGTTATGCAAAGTTTTCCTCTGACCTGCACAAGTGCCTCGGCACATGCATGCCCCCCCCCCGACCCATAAATTAATTAAATGTCATTTAACGACAACAACAGCATGGAATCCCTAACAGTTTTGTTGTCCTTCTTTGGTTTTTGATTGTTTGAGTGGTTGGTTGGTTTCTTTTCTCCCCGGAGCCTGGGTAAAGAAAGTCTAAGGTGAAAGCATCGTGAGGTTTTGCATTAAAATATGAAAACAACTCTGTGTCCCGGCCTTCCCGCCCGCGCTACCCTTGGCGCAGCTCGCGCCCTCACCGTCTCCCCGCGGATGCCCTGGACGCCCCTCCAGTGCGAGGGCACGGACGCCACGCCCAGGGTCTCGTCCTGCAGCGGTGCCGGCCGCCCGGGCCCGGACCCCTCAGCCCCGCTAGCAGCCAGCGCAGCAGCTCCGGCGCTTCCAACCCACCGTAAAGGCACCCGCGCCACGCGCGTTGCCATGACGACGGCTCCGCCCCCGTCCCCCCCCCCACGCGCCGGCGCCTTGAGATGTGACCTCTGCAGTCTTCGCCTCTGTAAACGGAAGTCCGAAAAGAGGGAGTGAAGCTAACGGCGCCATTTTTGAACTGGTTACAGCATCGCTCTTAAGGCCCAAAATAAAAAAAAAATTAAAAAAATAAAAAAATTCTTATCAGCCAGTACAACAGAACGGCAGTGGTTTGGGATTGTCATATTCGCAGAGGCCATTTTTGGGTCGGGAACAGCTCTTCGTCGTAGAAAGACAAGTGCGGAAGTGAGGCGTGGGCTCCAGGTTCAAAGATGGCGCTGAGCAGCCCGGTGCAGGGGCAAGCACGGCCTGCGGCGGCCTAGTGGGCCGGGCTGGTCCGGACACCCGACTGGGCCGGAAGCAGCAGAATACTCCAGAACCGCACATTTTGCCCGTGGATGTGGCAGCATTTTAAGTTTCTGCCTGAATGTACTGATAATGGAAAATATTCATACACATCGAAAGTGGGATTGGGTGGGTGGAAGGCCCAAATGAAAAAGTTTATATAAAACATAATAAAGCGCTTGTTAAATTAAGACTAGAGACATAACCATTAGGGATGAAGTTGAGGTCAATAATAGATTGCCCTAGATTCAAAAAGGACACAATCAGTGTCTACAAGGCGTCAAGCAAAGCGCCCAAAGTCTTAATGAATCTTATTAAGTCCTCAGCCTACAGGAGTAACTGCTTTCTTTCTTGTTGGTTGGTCCATTGTTGGAAGTGCCGGGGATTGAACACAGGGCTTTCTACATACCAACCCCTAAGCTCTACCAGTGAACTACATCTTCAGATCAATTGTAATGACCTACTGCCTCTAGAGTGTCTCCAGTCAGACATGTAACCGTCCAAAATCACCCAATGAGATCCCACAGGTAGCCTGCCTGATCCCCAAACCAAGCCCTCCGCCTCTAGGTGGTAATCTGCTGGTTTAGTCCTCTGGGCCCATTTCCTCTTTTCTCAGACTGGGAAGCCTGCCGGGTCTAGTTCTCAGTGCACAACACCCAGGGCAGAGGAGGCCAGGAGGGCAGATTAGCTTAGCAGCCCTGGGAGTGGGGTAAAATGTAATAGAAAGTCCTTCTACCTAAGAAGGGCTTCTTCGAAAACATCGCTAAGGGTTGGCTGCTTGCATGCCCAGGGCACTCAGGTTCAATTCCCAGGACCCACAAAGCAGCTAATAACCATCTGTAATTCTAGTACCAGGGAGATCTGACACACTTTCCTGGCCTCTGAAGGCACTAGGCAAGCATCTGGTGCGAAGTCATATGTTCAGTCAAAACATCCATATAATATTTACATATTTATTTATTTACTTATTTATTTACTTATTTATTTAAAAAAATCACGCTTTTTTAAAAAGAAGCCCAAGGCCTGAAAATAGGCTCTGAACCAGCCTTGTCTTTCTCTCCTGACTGGAGAGAGAGGCTTGGTTCACCTGGTCAAGGAAGAGAGTTCAAGGCATTAAATTCGACAAACAGCTCAATAAAGATAAGGCTAGGCCTGAGACTCTACCTCAGTGGTTGTGCATTTGCTTGACTTCTGGGAGACTAGATTCTACCTTAACAGGAATGAGATGTTTATATACACTTGAAGACAACTTGAAAATCAAGGAACGTCCTGGCACACAATTGTTTATGGAATAGTTCAGAATGCTAGAGATGGTGCTTGTGCCCTTATTCTCTACTTGAGAGATAAAGAGACACCAAAGATTTTTTAAAGGTTTTTTTTTTAACCTTTATTTTGTGTGCATTGGTGTTTTTGCCTGCATGTATATATGTGAGATGACAGATCTTAAAATCACAGACAGTTGTGAGCTGCCATGTGGATGCTAGGATTTAAACCTGGGTCTACTGGAAGAACAGTCAGTGCCCTTAACCACTGAGCCATCTCTCCAGCTCCAGGTTGAAAATGACCTTGAACTTCTGATCGTCTTGCTTCTACTCTGAAAATGACTTTGAACTTCTGATGCTCTTGCTTCTACCTCCTGAGAGCCAGGCTAACAGGTATACCACACCACACCTAGTTGTGTTGCTGTTCTTTTGTTGCATTTTTGAAAGCTTTTTATTTTGGTTTTTTGAGACAGGGTTTCTCTGTGTAGCCTTGACCTCAAACTCAGGATCCACCTACCTCTACCTCCCAGAGTGCTGGGATTAAAGGCGTGAGCCACCTATACCCAGTACCACACCTAATTTTCTTTTCTTTTCTTTTCTTTTTTTTCTTTTCTTTTTTAAGACAAAGTAAACAATAGGTGTTTGGTTAGTTACTGCTGGCACCTTACAGAATTTCCTATGCCCAGACCATTAAAAGTGTTACTACAGCTGGGCAACATTCCTTTAATTCCAGCACTCAGGAGGCAGAGGCAGGCAGATCTCTTGAGTCTGAGGCCAGCCTGGTCTACAGAGTGAGTTCCAGGACAGCCAGGACTACACAAAGAAACCTTGTCTAGGAAAAACAACAAAAAGTGTTACTACAAGGTGTTCCTGGGGGCCAGTTGGTGGTGGCATGTGCCTTTAATGCTAGCATTCTGGAGGCAGAGGCAGGTGCCTCTGCAAGTTTGAGGCCAGCCTGGTTAAGGCAGCCAAGGCTGCACAGAGAAACACTGTCTCAAAAATAGATAGATAGATAGATAGATAGATAGATAGATAGATAGATAGATAAGAGCACTTGCTGCTCTTCCAGAAGCTGTGCCTGGTAGTACAAGCCTGGAAGGCCAGCTATTGTGATACACAAATTCAGTGCCTACCAGAGTTTACACTCTGAATTCAAGATCAATGTTAGTAATTTATTTTAAACTATTTCTTTTTCAAAAAAAATTTTTAAGGCAAGCAAATAAGTAGCTTATTTTAGATTGTTTTGTTTTGTGGGTTTTTTGTTTGTTTGTTTTCAAGACACAGTTTCTCTGTGCAGCCCTGGCTGTCCTGGAATTGCTTTGTAGGCCAGGCTGGCCTGGAACTCAGAGATCCGCCTCCCAAATTCTGGGATTAAAGGCATGTATCACCATGCCCCGGCTGTTTTGGAATTTTAAAATTCAGTTATTTTTGGTAATTCATACATGTTGTCCCAGAACATGAGAAACTGAGGCAAGAGAACTACAATGGGTCTGAGGACAGCTAGCCTTCAAACCACGTCATGAGTTCCAGGACATCTTCACCTGCAATGTGAAATCCTGTTGCAAAGCTCCCATTAAAACAGAGCCTAGGCTGGCTTTAATCCCAGGACTCGGGGAGGCAGAGGCAGGTGGATAGCTGTTGGTTGGAGGCCAGCCTAGTCTACAAAGCACAGAGAAACCCTGTCTCAGGAAAAAAAAAAAAAACAAAAGCATAGAATCTAAATGTTGTTAGTAATTGTTGCTGGGAAGCTTAAATTTTGTTTTCTTTCTTTGTAGACATTTGCAATTTATTAAGAAAATGGCTGTAGTCAAACACGGTGGCTCATACCTATAATCCCAGCACCTGGGGAGGCAGAGGCAGGGAGCTCTCTGTCTGTTAGTTTGAGGCCAGCCTGGTCAACAAAGTGAGTGCAGGACAGCCAAGGCTGTCTCAAAAAAACAAAAACATATATATACACGTGTGTGTGTGTGTGTGTGTGTGTGTATGAAAGAAAAAGAAAAAAGAAAGAAAAGAAAATGTCTGGAAGTAGTCTTTAGTCCCATTACTCAGAAGATGGAGGCAGGCAGATTTCTACGAGTTCAAGACCAACCTGGTTTACAAAGAGACTTCCAGAATAGCCAGAGCTATTAACACAAAGAAACCCTGTCTTGAAAACCCACAAAAAATAAATAAGAGGAGGAGAAGAGGTGGAGGAGGAAGAAGGAAGGAAGGAAGCAAACAGGAAGGAAGGAAAAAAAGAGAGCCAGGCATGGTGGCACAGCCTTTAATCCAGCATTTGGGAGGCAGAGGCAGGCAGATCTCTGAGTTTGAGGCTAGCCTGGTTTACAAAGAGAGTCCAGGATAGTCAAGGTTATACAGAGAAACCCTGTCTTGAAAAACAAAAAAAGAGAGAAAGAAAGTCTGCTCTGGATTGAGAATGTACGGCAGGGGCAGAGAGTTCAAAATGCATAAAGCCTGAGTTCAATCCCCAGGGCAAGAGGAAAGGGAGGAAGGAGAGAGCATAGGGAAGGAGAGAGACTGTATTCCACGATTTTTTTTAGATTCATATGTCTTATTTTTGTGCATGGATGTGTTGTCTGCATGTATGTCTGTGCACCATGCGTGTGCTTGGTACGCAAGGAGGTCAGAAGAGGGCATCAGATCTCCTGGATTAGTGTTACTGACCGCCGTGAGCCACCCTTTGGGTACCGGCAACTGAACCCAGGTCCTCTGCCCCAGCAATTTGTGTTCTTAACTGCTGAGCCATTTCCTCAGTCCTGGGAATGAAGCCTTTAAATGTGGGCTGGGTTCTGGGGACGGGAAGGCTTAGGCAGTTTGTCATGGTGAAGGTCAAATTCTATTCAGCAGCAGCTGAGGAAATGCAGTTTTGGGGTACCTGTGTCCTGGTGGCTTGAAGCCTCACAGGAAGAACCATAAAATCAAACAAAACACTGTTTTTCTGAGGCAGGGTTTCATTAGGTAGCCACGGCTGTCTTGTAACTCACTATGTAATGTTGACCAGGCTGGCCTCAAGCTCAGAGATTCACCTGCCTCTGCCTCCCAAGTGCGTACTACCACACCTGGCTGTTGACAACTTCTTTTAAGATTTATTTATTTATTATGTACACAGTGTCATGCCTGTTTGTGTGCCTGCAAGACAGAAGAGGGCACCAGATCTCGTTATAGATGGTTGTGAGCCACCATGTGGTTGCCTGGGAATTGAACTCAGGACCTCTAGTAAGAGCAGCAATTTTCTAACCTCTGAGCCGTCAATCAAAAGGGCGGTAGTAGAAGGTTGGAAAGATGGCTTGGTGGCGAAGAGCTCCTGTTGCTCTTGCAGAGGGCCCAGTTTTGATTTCCAGCTTCCT